CTCATCTGTACTTTTTTTTTTTTGGGTCCGGTCGTGGGGCCTGAACTCTGGGCCTGGGCGCTGTCCCTCAGCTCTTCAGCTCAAGGCTAGCGCTCTACCACTTGAGCCACAGCGCCACTTCCGGCTTTTTTCTTTTTGCTTATGTGGTGCTGAGGAATCGAACCCAGGGCCTCAGGCATGCAAGGCAAGCGCTCTACCACTGAGCCACCTTCCCAGCCCCCTTTTTTCTTTTTTTAATAGGTGGCTTTGCATTCATACAAACATTCTAGTTCTGGGCTGGGAAGGTGGCTCAGTGGTAGAGTGCTTGCTTTGCATGCATGAGGCCCTGGGTTCGATTCCTCAGCACCACATAAGCAAAAAGAAAAAATCCGGAAGTGGTGCTGTGGCTCAAGTGGTAGAGCGCTAGCCTTGAGCTGAAGAGCTGAGGGACAGCGCCCAGGCCCAGAGTTCAGGCCCCACGACCGGACCCAAAAACAAACAAACAAACAAACAAAAAAGAACATTCTAGTTCTGCACATGGCTAAGAATGTCCCTTTGAACATGCTTTCCAGCCTCTCCAAGTTTTCTTATCTATTTACCAGGGGTTAATGGGGTTTTCAAATCTCTAGGTATCTATCTCCTTTGGGCTTTTGTGCAAGAAGGCAAGTGGTAAAGACCCCTGCTGTGTATGATGAGTAAGTGGGCTCCATAGTTTTTGTAGAGATGGGGGATACCGGTGATCTGTCCTCTAACACGAGGCCCTCTGAGTGCCTTGGGGCAAGTCAGTCAGTGGTGGGCAGCTGAGGGACTGAGTTTGTCACCCAGGATGAGGATGTGGGATTTGACACGGGTGTGACCACTGCAGATGCAGAAGCCCCAGATGGTTGTGGGGCCCAGGCAGCAGTCCAGACACCCCAGTTTCTAAGCGGCTGGATGTTTCCTCTGTAGATAATCATATTGGGGCTGGTTGACAGGTGGGCACAACTCTGGAGTAGACTTGAGAAGTCACCCCATGCCCAGCTTTCTAGCCCTGAAGGGGCAGGCTTCGCGAAGCATGGGCTGGGAGTGGCAGTGTCTAGGATAGCTGTAGGCCCATGGGTGAAGGCTGGCTAGCCCCTTTAGGGAACAGGTTCAGTGGCCTAGACTTGGCTAGTGAGGAGGAGGCCGGATCATTGCCTGTGTCTGGTTTAGCTGTACAGAGTGTGGAGGTGGAGAGACACAGGAGGATGGGTATGGGGATCTCCTGCTGAATGTCGCCACAAAGAAGACTGGGCCTCCTGGGAAGATAGGTCTCCTGAGAGTCCTGCTTTAGCTGAGAGTTCTGCTTTAGTACAAAAAGAGGGTGTATTGGGTTCCATAAGATTAAAGAGAAGGAAACCCTCCTCTCCTCCATGGCCCTGAGGTGTCCTGCAGGGATTAGGGACCAGCCTCCAACCCAGTCTGTGGGAAAGATCGAAGCTTTAGAACTAATGAACCAAATAGCAAATTACATACTCATCAGACAGCATAGGTGTTAACTATACAATTGTTCTGTTAATTGGTGAATCCAAGTTCATTTTGGCTGGCATCTTGTGCTCTGGGCTCTGTTCCCAGTCAGCCTCCAGCAGCCCTGTCCAACACTGCTAGCTGGTGCCCGTTCCATCAGCCCCCAGGGTATGCCAGAGTGCACCACGCGGTGTCACCCCTTGGCTCTTCCATCTCATCAGACTGGGTTCTCAGGCTAGAGGGACACACATCCTCAGTGCCCGAGGCTGTGCCAGGCTTATGGCTGCACAGAAGAGTAGGCCATCAGGCAAAAAGATCTCTACATTTCCCTCATTGGTGCCCTGCTGTGCGTGTGACTCTGATTCTCACACCTGTGTTTAAGACCCCTCTGCGTTGCTCCTCTACCTGCAACCCTCATTGCTTCTTACCTGGCTACTGTCAGAAGCTTGCTCACTGCTTTTTTTTTTTTTCTTCTTCTGGGTCTCTAATCAGAACATTTGCTGAAGTCTATTAGCCTAACAGTTGTCCATATACCTACTGTGTTGCAGGCACTTAGTGTGTGACCCAATGTCACAGTCTCGGTTTCTTCTGTCCTGTTGGATTCTCCACTTTGCATTCTATTCACAGCCAGTGTGGAGGAGGATTGGCATTGGTTTCTGGTTGGCATTCAGGGACCTCTTACCATTTTGTTCATTTATCCCTCTTTCCTAGTCACGTCCTATGACCCCACCCCCTCCCTTTCATGCATACTGTATGTTTCAGCCCCAACTCTTCCCTTCCGCTCTTCTGAGGCCTTATGTCCAAATCTTGTTCCTCTCTGTGATTCAGCTCAGATTCCACCTCCCTCAGGAAGCCTTCTACATCTTACTTGGTCAATATCTGCATGCCCAAAGGCAATCATCACTGTAAGGAGGATGATTGACAGCTCTCCTAGTCTTGTTCTCTTATGAGGTGCTTTCCTGCATCTTGTGTCTTGCAGCCAGCTCTGCCTACTGCAAGGACAGGGTCAGCCCATAGTAGATTCTGAGGAACTGGCTGCCTAATTGAGCATATTATTTCATGCTTGCCCTGAGCTAAGCCCTGAGGATTAAATTTACAAAAGTCCTTTAACATAGCTGCTGCTGTTATCCATATGTTCCAGAGGGTGAACTAAGGCTGAGAGAGATTAAGAAACTTGCCCATGGTTATACAGGTAGCAAGTGGCAGAACTGAGTTGTGTGTCCTGGCTTTTCTGTCTTGTAATTGTTATGTGATCTAAATGAATACTCTCAAAACATGATGCATGGAAGCCATGGGAGGATCTATACTTCTGAAGATGCCACCAATGAAGGAAGAACATTTATTGCTTTTTATTTATTTCATGGTACTGAGGACTGCACCTAGGCCTTCTCAACTGCTCTACCACTTGAGCCACCCCCACCTTCTCCTTATTTTTTTATCTGTGTGTGGTGGGTTTTAGCTGTGCCCTTTACCCAGAATTGCTCATGGCTAGGGTACCTTCAAGATCAGATGGGGAAAGGAGGGTAGCCAGAGATCCTGGTCTTAGATGGTTTTCAAGGTCCCTCATCTGAGTAGATGAGACCCTAGTGTTTTAGAGAGAGACAGCAAAAGGGCCTCTTTGTCTTTGCATTGCTTCTTTAATCCTGAAGATGGGTAAGACTGGCCTGAGCCCTGTGGGACCAAGAGATGAATTGGTCACAGTTAAAGGCCACTGTGGAGTAGAAGGAGAGAGAATTAGAAATCTCGACATTCAGAAATAGGGTTAACAAGATTCCAAGAGACCTGGGAGTCTACTGTTGAAAAACCAGGAGGAGGGAGGAGCCCTGACAACTCCTGATTGCAGAATAGCTCCCCAACTTTGTGATCCTAGTTTGCACCGCCAACTCCTGGCTTGGCTTGTAGGGGCCTGTCTGCAAGCTAGGATGTTTCCACACCCCTCTACCCTGCCAGGAGCTGAGGGCCATGGTTTTAAGCCTTTGTAGGGGGTGATTAGAAACCCTAGGGCTGCAGCAGTTCTTGAAAGGAGCAAGTAGAAGCTGGTGGGTGTCTCCCTGTAAGTAGCTGTCAGAACAGCTGTAGCTCTGGACCAGGAAAGTGAATGCCTGAGTGGACAACACAGGGTCTTCTGGACTTTTGTGTATAGTCATTGATTTTTTTGCTGTAGACCTGATCTGCAGCTAAGGAAACAGACATTCAGAACAGCTGTAATTTGCCCAAGGACACATGGCTGAGAGGCAGCTCTTAGCTGTAGTCTCTTGCTAGGTGTAGAAAATTAATTATTAGCAGGCATAAATGAAGTGACATTGCTGGGGGGCGGGTGCAGGTACATGGAGAGAAAGCACTGATTGGAGGTTAAAGGCAGAACTTTGTTGGTCTTTTCTTTTTTTTGGTGCTGGTCCGGGGGCTCAAATCAGGGCCTGGGCACTATCCTTGAGCTTTTGTGCTCAAGGCTAGTGCTCTACCATTTTGAGCCACAGGTCCCCTGGGCTTTTTGGTAGTTAATTGGAGATAAGAGTCTCACAGACTTTCCTGTCCAAGCTGGCTTTGAGTAGCTAGGATTACAACTTTGAACCACCAGTGCCCAGCTTAAAGGCAGAACTTTTAGAAACTATTCCTGTGGTCTTGTGGACTAGTACTGGAAAATGAACTACAAAACCACAGGAGCCATCTTTTATGGAGGAGAGAGCTTTTGGTTAGAGAAGGCCTACCTCATGAAAGGAATGCTAGGAAGATTTGGTGTTGGGAAGGCAGAAGATGAGAAGAGCTCTGTGCCTCATTTGATTGGTTCAAGCTGTAAGTTGATGATGGATTGGATGGGTTTTTGTACATCATAGTAAAAAATCAGAGCTCATGATCCAAAGTCAGTATTCAAAACCATAGACTTTTTGTGTGTGTGTATGCTGATACTGAGTGAATTTAGGGCCTAGGTGCTATCCCTGAGATGGTTTTGTTCAAAGTGATCTCCATTTGAATCACAACTCTGGCTTTTTTTTTTCCTGGTTAATTGGACATAAGAATATCATAGACTTTCCTGCCTGGGCTGGCTTTGAATCATGATTCTCAGATCTCAGCTTTCTGAGTGGCTAGGATTATAGGTATGAGCTACCAGCATCCGGCTATTTGCTTACTTTATGGACCGAAAAGCAGTAGGAAACACAGCATGCCCTAGATAATGGAGTTGGCCCAGAACCTACACGGCTTGCTTATCTGAATGGAGTCTGGAGGATGATGGTGTTTAGTAAAGTAGCAATGTTGAGTGGAACAGGTTCACAGGACAGGGCAATGACCTCTGTATTTGTGAAAAATTTGCCAGTGTGGTAGGGGAAGGCAGTGGGGATGTGAGCTGGGCCAAGTCAAGACTTTCAGACAGGTGTGTCTAGGGGTCTTCAGAGGTGGAAAGTAGTCTATAGTGAAGCAGGTGAAGGAACGGGGAGGACTGTTGGAGGATAGACTGCTTTCCTGCCTCTGAGATGGGGTCTGTAGGGTATTGTGCTTAGGAGCTGACAGCTTGCTCTTCCCTCTGCTTCATCTTATAGGTGATTGCCGTGGTGATGGATGTGTTTACAGACATTGACATCTTCAGAGACCTGCAGGAAATATGCAGGAAACAAGGAGTGGCTGTGTACATCCTTCTGGACCAGGCTCAGCTGTCCCACTTTCTGGACATGTGTATGGATCTGAAAGTACATCCTGAGCAGGAAAAGGTTAGTGGTAGACCATTTCTATTCTTGTCACAGTCAACAAATATGATAGAGCCCCCCAGTCTCCAGGTGGGTGGTGGCAGCATCTTTCCAGCAAGTTAGGGAACTAAGGCTAAGGCCAAGTCATTTGCCTGGGATTCCACAGGAAATGAACAATACTTTTGATCCAGTCACAGGTATTGATATCTGTGATACTTAACATACTTAATACCTCGACATTCCCCTTCTAAGTATCTACCCAAGAGAAAATACAGGTCCACATGAAAACTGTATCTGGATGTTTATGGGAGTATTATTCATAATAGGCAAAGGATGGAAACAATTCAGTGCTTATCAGCTGATAACTGGGAAAACAATATGTTGTCTATTCAGCCATCAAAAAGGAATGAAGTCCTGACCCATGCATGACATGAATGAACCTGAACGTATGTTAAATGAAGGAGCTTGTCACAGAAGACACATATTGTATGATCTCTTTATATGCAAGACCAGAGTAGAGATAGAAGGAAGACTGGCATCCGTATTGGTGGGAAAGGAGATGGAGGGATCAGTGGGGTGGTAGCTAAGGGTGGCCACCATGTGTAGAACTCCAATTCTGCTCTGGGCAGTGCTTTAACAGATGTTATATAATTAGTCCTTTCAGGGGCTCCATCGTAGAAGTGATTGTCCTGATGTTTTAGGTCAGGCAGTGATGACAGAGCCCAGGTATCCCCTGCTACGATGCCATGGGCCTGGCGTTCAGTGCATCTACCTGCCTCCAACTCTTGTGCACCTAATCACTGCTGTGTACTGCTGCTCTTCTTCACCATTATAAAATTAAAATGTCCTTTTCTTTAGTAATGAAAATAAGTATTTAAACATAAAGGTATACAATCTATCGGTTTGGTTTCCATGGTAGAAAAGGCAAGAACAATTGTCATTTATTTCAGAATCCATTAAAATTGCTCACGCTGTAATCCTAGCTACTCAGGAAGCTGAGATCTAAGAATCCTGGTTCAAAGCCAGAGCAGGCAGGAAAGTCTGTGAGACTCTTATCTCCAGTTAACCACCAGAAAACTGAAGTGGCACTGTGGCTCAAGTAATAGAGTGCTCACCTTGAACTGAAGAGTTCAGGGACAGCGCCCAGGCCCAGAGTTCAAGCCCACGACCGGTGGTGTGCAGGTGATATACAGAGGGGTTACAATTACTTCAGTCAGGTAAAGAGCACATTTCTTTTTGGACGATGTCACTCCTTCCCTTGCTCTCTCCCAGTTTTTCCCTCTTGTTCCTACAAGTTGTAATAGTTCATTTTCAACATCGTGTCTAGTGAGTACCACTGCTGCACAGAAATCTTTTTTTTTTTTTTTAGAAATGCAACAACATTACCTGTGCCCTTCAGAATTTATGCATCATCTATTTGGCGGGTACTGTCCTCAGTAGTAGGAATAAAGCATCCAGGAATGCAAAGAATTTGATCTTTGGTACTATGGATTTCTGCATGGGTCACTATGTTACTGTCTTGTTGTTACCTAGCAATTTTGTCTAGAAAATTCCCACCATTAATCTTCTCCCAGAAAATCAGAAGATTGGGATTCTCCCTTGAGAAAGCAGAAGATTGGGGTTACTTAGGTAGTTACTTGTCACTTGTGCCACACTAAATTCATGATGGAGGTCTGATTGAGACTTAGAGGCTGAATGAAATGAGATAGCCATGTGATCTAGCAATCAGTTTAAAAATGAGATCTGGTGGACTCAAGGATCATGCAACTCAGGAATGGGAAACTGGAGTGCTATCCTATAACTAGGTGTTAGAGAGCCAGAGAAGAGATGGAAGGAAGGTATCAGCATATAATTCCAACGTGCTTTCTGTAATTAAGGCTGTGTCCGAGCACTGCTGGTTGCTGCCTTCCTGGTGGTCCAGATCCTCTGTAGGAGAGTTTGAAGGAGGTATGTAGCTCTGGCAGCCTCACCTTTTGTAGTGGGTTAGCACCTTCCTAAGGAGATGGGCACCGTCTCCAACCCCCATCACCCCATTGCTGGAGAATCTGTGCCCTCTCTGGGTGCCCTCTGCTCTGGGCTCTGGTGGTTCAGATCACTAGATTATCTTGTCTGTAGGAACTTGGGCAGGTATTCATGGGCAGGTATCCAAAAGTACTTTGGCCTGCATAACATTAAGATGTGTGTCAAAAGGAAAGATACACAACCACTCCTGAATCTGCTCGTAGTGGTATTTTTATGCCTATTACATGTTGATTCTTTAAGACTCAGGAGTCACCTGCTTCAGTCAAGCCTTCCTCCTGACAATTCCATGTGGGTATCTATGAAATTTTCTACTTTTTTTTCCCTTTTTTTTGTTGTGGTATTGGGGTTTGAACTCAGGGCTGCTTTGTACTTGGTAGGAAAGTACTGCTTGAGCTATACCCATGGACCTTTTGTTTATATTGTGTTTTGGAGATAGGATTTTACTACCTCTGCTTTGGCTGTTCTTGAACTCATGATCCTCCTACTCCCACTTCCTGAGCAGCTGGGACTACAAGTGTGTGTGTGTGTGTGTGTGTGTGTGTGTGTGTGTGTGTGTCTGTTCTTGAACTCATGATCCTCCTACTCCCACTTCCTGAGCAGCTGGGACTACAAGGGTGTGTGTGTGTGTGTGTGTGTGTGTGTGTGTGTGTGTGTGTGTGTGTGTGTGTGTGTGTGTGTGTGGCTGTTCTTGAACTCATGATCCTCCTACTCCCACTTCCTGAGCAGCTGGGACTACAAGGGTGTGTGTGTGTGTGTGTGTGTGTGTGTGTGTGTGTCTGTTCTTGAACTCATGATCCTCCTACTCCCACTTCTGGGACTACAAGGGTGTGTGTGTGTGTGTGTGTGTGTGTGTGTGTGTGTGTGTGTGTGTGTGGCTGTTCTTGAACTCATGATCCTCCTACTCCCACTTCCTGAGCAGCTGGGACTACAAGGGTGTGTGTGTGTGTGTGTGTTTTCATTTACTTTGAAATAGTTTCAGAGATGGGGCTGGGAAGGTGGCTCAGTGGTAGAGCGCATGCCTTGCATGCCAGAGGCCCCGGGTTCGATTCCTCAGTACCACATAAGCAAAAAGAAAAAAGTCAGAAGTGGCACTGTGGCTCAAGTGGTAGAGTGCTAGCCTTGAACTGAAGAGCTGAGGGACAGCGCCCAGGCCCAGAGTTCAGGCCCCACGACCGGACCCCCCCCAAAAAAATAAATAAATGAAATAGTTACAGAGGTAATATTAAGAGTACCTGAATACACTTTATCCAGAGTTCCCATATATTAACATCTTTTGAATCTTAGTACTATAATATCTCATCTTCAGACCTTATCTCTCACTAGTTATTCCATTAGTGCCTCTTTTCTAGTCCAGGGTCCAGTCCATAGCTACACCTTACATTTACTTGTCAGGTATTCTTAGCTCCTTCATTCTGGAGCAGTGCCTCTTGTCTTTCATGGTGTGATGATGTTGAAGAATAGTAAGCAGTGTTGTGTAGAATTTAGCCTTGTCTGATGTTTCCTCCTGGTTCAGTTCATATGCATTTTAATAAGAATACCACAGAAGTGACATTCTGTTTAACCATAGTGTTTCATTTTTAACTTATTTTGAAATAATATTAGGTTCACACAGTTGCACAGGTACTACAGAGACGTTCCATGGGCCCTTCATCTGTTTTCCCCAGTGTATCTATCTTATGTAATTGATAGTCCAATAACGTCAGGTGGACATTGGCATTGCTGTGATGTGCATGTGTGTGTGTGTGTGTGTGTGTGTGTGTTGTGCCATGCACATCCAGACAGAACTATTCTGCCACAGGGTACACACACACACACACACACACACACACACACACACACACACACACACACACACACACACACACGCTAATTAGTAGCCTCAACAATAAACATAGGAAACTGACATAGAGAAGACTATAGGTAGAGTGACATCACTTAGGGAATACTAGGCTAGTCTGCTGAGTGTGTTGTTTGTAAATGGTGACTCTTAAGTCACATAGCACCAGCAAGTTTGTTTGGGAATTGTAAGCTAAGCCTTTTGGTCTTACTCATTTATTCACTGAATGGTAATCATTGACTTCTTCATTGATTTTTCTTTTTTCTTCCATTTCCCGGCCAATAGCTGATGACAGTGCGGACTATTACAGGAAACATCTACTATGCAAGGTCGGGAACCAAAATTATTGGGAAAGTTCATGAAAAGTTCACATTGATTGATGGCATTCGAGTGGCCACAGGCTCCTACAGGTATGTTTTTAACAAGTGCATTAAGTGTATTGTTAACCTGAATTCTTCAGAAGAACAAGGTAAACACGTCTTGTTCCTCTCAGTGACAGGCAGCCTTTGTGACTCAGCATTCCCAGGTGTTCACACCTGTGTGTGAGTTGGCTTATTCCAGCCCCTTCCATTGGAGGTGATTGGTGTGAGAGTCACTTCCCTTGCCATCTCCACAAATCTAAACTGCAGAAGTTAAACAAGCACAGAGAACATACAGTCAGCCTTAGATTCAAGCCTTGGCCTGGGCCTGACTAACTGCCACACCCAGCCTTAAAGCCTGGTTCCTTGGGGGTTTGGATCCCATTTGCCCTGATTTCTGAGGATAAAGGCATGGCAGGCATTGACATCAATATGGCAAACAGACCTGAAGCTGTACCTTTATACTTAACTCCTTTACCTTGCTTTCAGACTTGTGATATAGTACCTTAGCTGAGAAAATCTTGGCTATGTTTCAGACCACCCTGAGAATCTTACTTTTGTGGTGTCTTCAGGTAGAGAGTAGGGAGGCTGAATGAGGGGGAGAGATCAGGAGATGTTTACATTCATCTCTGGAAGTTGTGTGGTTTCATAGTTGTGTGTTTTGCCACTTCCTCTGACATTGTCCAATTGTAGCTGTGGGGGTGACTGCAGAGTAGAAGAGAAAAATCCCCTTTTGAAGAACCATGCAGCCTAGAGTGCCAGCCTGGGCTTTTGGCAGATGGGGCAAGCAGATCAAGAAGCTCTTGGTAACTTCCTTTCCAAACAGAGTTAGATCTCTTCCTTGAGATTTCCTTTTATAAGAAATTTATCAATATCAGAAGAAATAAGGTTTTCATCCAAAGTAGGGTTTATCCACACTAATGAAACTTACCTCCAAATGGTTTTTGGCAATTCTAAAACCTAAAAACACAAAAGCTAACCTCCACAAATGAACTACTCCCTCATGGATGGTATTAACTTCCACCTTATAGTCCTAGTGCTGAGTGGCTGTTTTATTACCTCACTGATGTTTTTCTAAAGAATCTTCCTGCTGGGTGCTGATGGCTCATGCCTGTAATCCTAGCTACTCAGGAGGCTGAGATCTGAGGATTGTAGTTCAGACAGTGTGGGAAGAAAAGATCCCATGAGAATCTTTGTTTGTTTTTTTGTTTTTTTGGGTCCAGTCATGGGGCCTGAACTCTGGGCCTAGGCGCTGTCCATCAGCTCTTCAGCTCAAGGCTAGCACTCTACCACTTGAGCCACAGTGCCACTTCCAGCTTTTTTCTTTTTGCTTATGTGGTGCTGAGGAATCGAACCCAGGGCCTCTGGCATGCAAGGCATGCGCTCTACCACTGAGCCACCTTCCCAGCCCCCCATGAGAATCTTATCTCGAATTAACCACTCAAAAACTGGAAGGGGAGCAGTGGCTCAAAGTGGTAGAGGGCTAACCTTGAACAAAATTGCTCAGGGACAGTGCCTAGGCCCTGAATTCCAGCCCCCAAACTGCAAACAAAAAAAAAAAGGAAAAAAAGAAAATTCTTTTTCAAGCTTTGAAGGTAGTTCATAAGTAGCATCTGTATTAGTAAGGGTTCTTGGTTGTAAAAGACAGAGTTGAAACTATGTTTCAGGATCTCTCATTAAAGCATCTTATTTAAGGTAGGCAAATATCTGTTATCAGTGTAGTGACTACAGTGCACCCTTGCAGGGTGATACTGACAAACACAGACTAGGGAAGTGTGGGAGAGTACATTTGGTTGTCAGCCTCTCTTGACCAAAGGCTTGACTCTGTCTCGATTCTGCTTTTCTCTGGCTGAACTTTACTCTTCGGTTGGCTCTTTCCCTTTGATGGCAGAGACCCTGGCTTACATATACACCTTGTAGTAGCTGTTTCCAAAGTGAGATTCTCTTCAAAACAGTACTGGTATGAATTTCTGGGAACTTATAGGCCATCATGGGGCCTTACGCCCACCCAGGAATAATAATCCCTGAATCTAAGGAGATGAATTCACTGGGCAACCTGGGCAGTATGTCCACCCCTGTTGAACTTAGATGGGCACATAAAGCTTTCTCCTGTTAACAGAAATAGAGATGCGGGACAGGCAGGGGCACAGGGGCAGTAATCAGCTCTTAGTGTGTTCAGTGTTAGGGTAACAAATCATCTCCTTTTGCAGAAATGGAAACCATAGGGACAAACGTGGTGTCAGGTACAGGCCTAATCTATGACCTATGAATAGCTCCCTATTGTGGTACTGTTAGTGGGTTCATCTCTAAAAGAGAACATAGCACTGCCTAAATACTTGAGAGTCCCCTTCTCATTTTTAAAACTCTTAAGACTGAGGATCATGTGGCTTTTACCTGTTGATTAAACAGTTGGTCTGACTTTTTCATTTACACACACACACAAACACACGTTCTATACTTCTGTTTAGGTGTGTTGATGTCACACTGAATTGGTCTGTATGTTACCACCAACGTTGTGAATATTAAGTAGCAGAATATGAGCTTCATTATTAAGACTGTCAGTAAACTGAAAGTCCTTATCCTTACCAGCTTTTGTTGTCTGTTTTTAATTTTTCAGTTTTACATGGACGGATGGCAAATTAAATAGCAGTAACTTGGTAATTCTGTCTGGCCAAGTGGTTGAACACTTTGATCTGGAGTTCCGGATCCTTTATGCCCAGTCAAAGCCTATCAATTCCAAACTGCTGTCTAACTTCCGGTTCCATGGCGGGTTTTACCACCTGGCAGACCGGAAACCGTTGTCCAAGACGCTCACGCTGGGCAACTTGCTGCGCATGCGCCTGGACAAATTGTCCAGCACACCCAAGAAGACACCTCTAGGCCCCGGGACTACGGGGGCTGGGGAGGATGCTCAGCGCCAGGACTCGGAGGCCTCCACCATCAGCGAGGATGACTACCTGCACAGCCGCCAGGATGACCTGGACAGCAGCCAGGGGGTCCATATTGCCACCCAAACAGAACCAGGAGAGGAGCTGGCTGCGGTGAGCGTGAGCGAGGTGGGGACACAGACCAGCTCCAGCACCGCCTCTGCGGGGACCCAGACTGAGGTGGCCACCAGGGCTGTGAGCTCCCAGACTGTGCTGTGGGCCAGGGAAGCCACCACGCAGACAGATGCTGAAGACAGCAGCCTCCCTCTCCAGGGACCCCAGTCCAAAGATGGGTCACCTGTGTCAAAGATGTCTGTGTCCAGGTCGTCTAGTTTGAAGTCATCCTCCTCTCTGTCTTCCCAAGGCTCTGTGGCCAGCTCCATTGGCTCCCACACTTCTCTGAGAGCCACCGACCTCCACAATCCTGGGTACCCCAATTACCTGGGCACCCCGCACCTGGATCTGTGCCTGAGGGACTCGCTGAGAAACTTGAATCAAGAGCGACAGCATCACCTGACCGGCATCAGGTCTCGCCTCAACCACATGCTGACCATGCTCTCCAGGAGAACGATCTTTACTGAAAACTACCTTAGCTTTAGCCCCGGAAGTTACACCCGAGCCTCAGTGAATGTGGTTGCTATTAGAGATGTCCCTCTCTTTTCTACCCATCAATGATTCTGGGTCCAAGTACCAGCAGTAGGCAGCACCTTACCTTCCTGCTTTGTAAACCATCGCAGGATTCCAACTGTTGCCTGGCTGTGAGTCACCACAAGTGACTTGAATTCAATTTTATTCTGTACATTACATGCTTTTCTTTTTGTATCATAGAAACCAAAGATTGGTATTATGGCTTAAACACTATGGGTATGGTTTTTGTTTTTTTCACATTTTAAAATGTTATTACTTAAATATGTAGGTGTTTTAAGGTTAAATCATTGCAGAGGAAATGTTCCATGTTTTTCTTTGTGTGTATACTCTTCTGCCTTAGAAGTCTGAGTCACTACTGTTTTTAGGATCAAAGTTCTGTTTAGAAAAGTTTTGCTGTGGTTTGTCTCTTAAATGTATATTCTTAGCATTAAGTGTTGACTGCTTGAGCACTTTTTTTTTCCTGACATTTTTGTCTTTTATCTTTAGGAATATGTTAAAAAAAAAAAAAAAAAAGCACTTGTAGGTATCTGTGCAATCAAGTGGGAAAGAAATGAATGGTCCAGATTGTAAAAGGGAAAAGATGCCACCTAAAGTTACTTGATGGACTGGAGATGTGACTCGAGTGGTAGAGCGCCTGTCTTGCAAGGATGAGGTCCTGAGATCAAACTCCACTACATCAAAGTTGGGGTTCTGCCATCCATAGCATGGTGAAGATTGATGTCACTCTGTTTGAGTGGGCACTTTGCCGTGGTAGTGGGCCTCTAATGTGCTCTTGCTTTTGTGTTTTCAAAGAAAAACCTGAGCTATTTCAGGGAGGACATGGGTTTTCTGCCTCTCTGCCAAAGGAGTCCTGGATGCCTGCTCAGCATAAAGTCTAATGGCCCCATGGGCTTCATTTCATCAGATGGGTTTATTGGCTGTAGTTTAGCAATCTCCCATCCCAGAGCAGGGGCAAGAGAGGACACTGACAATTATCCCAAATTCCTAGTCCACTGGCAAGCAATGTAGCTGGTTTCTACATCCTGCTAATCAGGATCAGTATAGTTGTGGAATCTTATTTTTGTTTTATTCACATGGACAGACAAAAGAAAGAGAGTTAACTTGTGGCTTTCTTGTTCTGGCTGGCTAGAGCAGAAAAGCTCTATAATAGGGAAGGTACTGGGGCTGGGAAGGTGGCTCAGTGGGAGAGTGCTTGCCTTGCATGCATGAGGCCTTGGGTTTGATTCCTCAGCACCACATAAGCAAAAAGAAAAAAGCCGGAAGTGGCACCGTGGCTCAAGTGGTAGAGCGCTACCCTTGAGCTGAAGAGCTGAGGGACAGCGCCCAGGTCCAAAGTTCAGGCCTCATGATCAGATCCCCCCTCCCCACCCAAAAATAAATAAAAATAAATAGGGAAGGTACTGCCTGCTGGGTAGAATGCTACTGCACCAGGATCCAGAGTACTCCTGCAGGTTTTCATGCATGTTGTAGGACTCCCGGCTCTGGTCAGGTTATGTGCTGGGTTAGTGAAGCAGATGTGTGGAATCTGGTCTGTATTTGCCTGTAACCAACTCTTATCTGCCTACAAATAATATGGGCTAAGCCTCAGGTAAACTCATTGTTATCTGAAGCCATTTGCAGTCTTAGGCCTTTTTCTGTGTGCAATCTTAAGCTCTCACAATAATGTAGTAGACAGCTTTGTAGGCTAGACAGCTGTTACCAATTTTTTTGTGTGTGTGTCAGTATTGGGGCTTGAACATAGCTCCTCATGCTCTTCACGTGCTTTTTTTGTTCAAAGCTGGTGTTCTATTACATGAGCCATGCCTCCACTTCGTTTTTTTGCTGGATAATTGGAGATAAGAATCTCACAGATTTGAGGATTTGTCTGATGCTAGGATTACAGACATGAGCCTCCACCATACCCAGCATTTTTTCCAATTTTTAGATGGAGCTGAGGGTCAGATTAAATAGCACATTCAAGGTCCTATGGCTGATCATGTGAAATTTGATGACACAAGAACATAAATTTCCCGATTCCAAGTTTAGGACTCTGTGAGGTCACTGCTTCTCTATATGGAGTAGGGAGGCTTTGGAGCATTTTCCTTGACTAGCAGCAGTGGTGATAGAAAGTGGAACCTTAGCCTCAGGTACAAATGGAGGTACAGAGCATTAATTTGTGTGACCATGCAATTTAATTCCATATGAAAATTTCACCCTTGTTTCTATGGAACTGTTAATAGGATTACATGTAAAAAGATGACTCAGGGCTTCTCAACGGGGCAAATACTGAGCCTGTCATGCACATACCTGACCACACTAACTCGTTTGAGGGAGCAGGACTTAAAACCATTGTTCACATGGACAGACAAGAGAAAGAGAGTTAACTTATGGCTTCCTTGTTCTGGCTGGCTAGAGCAGAAGAGCTCTGTAATAGGGAAGGTACTGACGGCTGTGTAGAATGCTGCTGCACCAGTGTTGAACGTGTTGTCAACAATTAGAAATAAGAATTAGATGGGGCTGGGAAGGTGGCTCAGTGGTAGAGTGCTTGCCTTGCATGCATGAGGCCCTGGGTTAGATTCCTCAGCACTGCATAAGCAGGAAAAGCTGGAAGTGGCTCTGTGGCTCAAGTGGTAGAGCACTAGCCTTGAGCTAAAGAGCTGAGGGACAGCGCCCAGGCCCAGAGTTCAGGCCCCATGACCGGCAAAAACAAAAAAAACAAACCCCAAACCAGAAGTTACATGGAATCCCAAGAAAATAGTGGTCTCATCTTAAAATGAGCAAAGCTTTTCTGGAACTGAATTCTGGAAAGTGTCACCATAGCTTAGTTCCCTCAAAGTGAGATCTGAGCGCCACCTGCACGAGTGTCTGGGGTGCCCAGGGACGCCTGGCTGTGTAGCTCAGTGGTACGGTGGCTGCTTAGCACTGCAAGGCGCTGCCCTGTACCCCTCATGTTGATTCCTGGCTCTCATCCCAGGGGAGAGGAGGGCACGTGAAAGAGACTATACTTTAAAAATGTTTGTCACCCCTCCCCAGGAGAAAACTAGTTCTTCATCCATCTGACTTGGCTATAAATATTTCAGCATTTATCTCTACTTTGTTTTTTTTTTTCCCCCCTTCTGATGCTGGGGATCAAATCCAGAGCCTCACAAATACTAGGCAAGTACTCTGTCACTCTCTAAAGGACAAACTTACTTTTTAAAAACTACTGCAATACCACTATGACACTAAACAACTTTGTTAAGTTCTTGTCAATATAAAATAAATATTCATTGTTCAAATTCAGTTTTGTTTTTATTTTCCTCATGAAGTTTGTTTTGTGTTAGAGAATCACACAGATTCAAGATTGACCTGGTTAGACTACAGGGTTGACATTTCTTTTATAAAACAAGGAATGAACTGATGAGATGGTTACCCCGCCTCACAGGCAGTGGGGCTGGGGACGATCTCTTATGGGACTTAAAATAACAAGAAGGACTTAATTAGGGTAACAAGTTACAAACTGTAAGTTACAAGACTGAAACTAAGTTACATGAATGAAATTCAAGGGTAGAGATGCAGAAAGGAGTTAGGCATGAAGCCAAAAGTGCATGTTGTATCACACACACACACACAGACACTTCATGTAGGTCTGCCTGTAACTTTAAACTTGATGGTAGCTGAGATAGCAAGGAACCTGTTAGTTGCATCATTCAGTGTTCCCAGAGTGAAGTAAGTCCAGGTACAGGATGAATAATTGTTCCTGTTAGTAGGCAAATACAAGAATTTCTTATAGAGATCTTAGTAATGTGATACTGTGGAGCATTCTGGTAATTTATCCTGGTAATAAACAGTGACATTTTCTGGGGTGAACTCAGACCCTGAACTTGATAGAAGCTATAATGTAAGAGGATTGTATTCAGTATTCTGTAAGCATGTTCCTTACACAGAATAGTTCCAGATGGTCAGTTCACTGGTGCTCCACACCTAGATAGGTGCCCTACTTTGACTAGCAGATTTCGCATTTGCTCATTCCTACAAGTCTCTATGTCATTCTGAGAAATGTCCCAGTTTTGAGACAATATCCAGAATGCACCTCATGGATGCAAGAGGCTTCTAACTCACACACACTCCATACTCTCACACCTTAGGCTAACACAGTGCAGATTCCTCGAGCTGTTGAGTGTCTTCCCAGGGGATCTCTCCTTAATGCTAGTCACATCCTCAAAGCTAAGCAAGCACTTTTCCTTATGCTCATACAATGTGAACGCCATCACTGGTGTGCAAGTCAGTGAACCAGACATGTTTACAACAGTTGCAGAAGTTGCACTTAAGATTCTATGGAAAATTCTGGTAGAGTTCTGAAAAGCAGTTCTGCAAAAGATGGGCTTTTCATTTTGGAGGCAGCTGTCTGATCCTGCTTCCTGGAACTACCCAAGGGTATTGTATTTTCTGGAAAGCTAACAGCTCTAGCACATGGATTCATGGATGGTTGTTACTGGACATACCCACAAGACAATGTTGGCAGCTGGAAGTTGACATGGTCATCATTTAGAAGTGGCAAAATGTACCTTAACACATGATGCTACCTTAAGAATATATCATAGTTATTGAAATGAACTCCAGGGAATGGGGGAAAAAAGAAGTTATCATGGAATTGGAGGTATTGCTCAAGTGAGTGCTGGTCACCCTTCAATGAAAAAGCTTAGTAAGAGTGCAAGATCCTGGGTACAAGCCCCGGTTAACTGTGGGCATGCAGGCGTGTGTGTGCGTGCATTTGTGCACACACAGTTTGCTAGGCATAGTTGTGTACACCTGTAATACTGCACTTGGGAGGCTGAAGCAGAAGGGTCTAGAGTTTGAGACCTCTCAAAAAAATCTTTTTAGGCCATACTTGCTGAAAATCATCAGGAAGAGAGAGAAGATTGAGTGCATTCCTAGTTTATAACAATTCTACACTCAACATGTAGGTTATTTAGATAATATTTTAATAGGGGAAAATGCTGTGATTATATATATGTGTATATATATACATATATATATATATATATAAAACATTTATACACACATATTTGAAAAGGCACTAAGGGCATGTGGCAATGAATGTGAATGTGACGTTTTCCTTGTCCTTAAGAAGTTCTGGTGTATTGGGAGATGGGAAGGGGAAATAAAGGAGGCAACAATGCTTGATAAGAAATGTACTCATTGGGGCTGGGAAGGTGGCTCATTGGTAGAGCGCTTGCCTTGCATGCCTGAGGCCCTGGGTTCGATTCCTCAGCTCCACATAAACAAAAAGAAAAAAGCCGGAAGTGGCGCTGTGGCTCAAGTGGTAGAGTGCTAGCCTTGAGCTGAAGAGCTGAGGGACAGCGTCCAGGCCGAGTTCAGACCCCCCGACCGGACCCAAAAAAAATCTCAGAGACAGTGTCCAGGACCTGAGCCCCAAACTTGCGGCTCGAGGAAGTCAGGAAGAGCATTTTAAAAGGCTCGATCTTGGAGTTGGGAGACTAGAATCTACTTTTTAAGTAGGCATATCACTTGGAGGAAACATGGGGCAGCGCTCTGGCCTAACCAACTTCTAGTCTTTTCTTTCCACCGTAATCCCCTCCTCGCCTCTGTTTGGGGTTTTACCGTGCAGGACCTGTGCTATTTCATATGACTCACTGATAACAGTAAACATCCATCCACCTCACCCCTAGCTTGGACACAAACTGCAGTATCAGGGCACAAAGTAAGCTCCTAAAGCTTGCGGTAATCTCGAACCCTCGGAGTAGCTGTATTATTACCTTTCAGTTTGAAAATAACGAGATCAAAGGAGAATTAGCAAATCAGAGACAGCAGGGACCAGCCATCATCCCACTGAGCAAACACTCCAACATGGCGGGCCGGTCACGTGAGACGAGGGGCGGGACCAGCGCCCAGAGACGATCACGTGGCCTGGAGGGGGCGGTGCTGACAGGGGGCGTGGCCTCCACGGCTTTCGATTCGCCCGGGGGGCCCCCCCTCGCGAGCCACGCCCCCTTGTCTTCTGCGGGAGTGGCGCGCGGCGGCGGGGTGGGGCCTTCCTGATGACCTTTCACCCCAGCATGGCTGCGCCCTTGGGACCCGTGAAGTTCTGGCGACCCGGTAAGGCCCGCGGCGGAACGCCGATTGTCGCGGGTGCTGGCGCCGCGGCCGTGCGCCGGGGCCTGCGGACGCGCTCGCAGGCTTGACCTCGGCGGGCCGGGCGCCGCCGCCGCGCGCGGGTGGACTCCGCGGGGGACCCCCGCAGGCCCCGGGAGTTGGGGCGTGCGCCCCCCAGCCTGGGCGGGAACCGCGACCTTGTCGGCGGCCCCGGCCCCCGGGGCGTTTGCCGTCTTTGCGGCCCCGGCCCGGGTCCGATCCGGTTCCTCCCCATCCCTCGCGGTGCCAGTCCCGCAGCGCTCGCGCGCGCCCGGCTCCCGCCCCGCGCCACGGCCGGCCTCAGCGGCTCAAGGGCGCAGACCCACGTTCCGGCTTCGGGGCCGTGGAAGGGGCCGGAGGAGGAGCACCGGCGCCTGGCTTGACTTAGGAAGTGCGCCCAGAAGGGGACCGGTGTTCTCGCCGTAGTTCTTGCCCACCCCGAATTCTCTGGGGTGCACCTTCTTCCTTCCGCAGACGGACGGCGGTCACCATTACAGAATGCTTTCTCTTCGTTTGGCACGTGTGAATCGGCTTTTAATGAGCATATAGATGCACACGTACCAGACCGTGCTGGATGCATTATACTTCCTTTCTGTCCATCAGTGTCTGGTAAAAAGAAAAGTAAAACCCAAACCCACAAGTTTCTTAAGAGTTACCAGCCCCTCCTCCCCTTTTTGGTTTTAAACCATTTGCATCTCTGTGGGTCTGGATGTGCAAAATACATTGCAGCAAAAATGAAGCGAGACCGAAATGAATGTAAGGAAAGCTTTTAATGTTTTAGAATGGTTTCTCAAAGTTCTGACAGCTCACACAAGCCGTGGGGGAGACAAACCCAAGCAAGCTGTGTGCTTAATTCTTATTTATTTGATGGTACTGAGGGGTTTTGGTTTTTTTTGGCCAGTCCTGGGGCTTGAACTCAGGGTCTGGGCACTGACCCTGAGCTTCTTTTGCTCAAGGCTAGCATTCTACCACTTGAGCCACAGAGCCACTTCCAGCCTTTTCTGTGTATGTGGCACTGAGGGATCGAACCCAGGGCTTCATGCATGCTATGCAAGCACTCTGCCATTAAGCCACATTCCCAGCCCCCCCTGGTACTGAGTTTTAACTCAGGGTCTGTGCTTGCTAGGCAGGCACTCTACCACTTGAGCCACACCTCCAGATTTTCTTTTAGTTGTTTGTTGAGATGGGGAATCTCAGTAACTTTTTACCTGGTCTGACCTTGAATCTCAGTCCTTCCAATCTAGTGGCTGAGGTTAGAGTGCTAGCCTTGAGCTGAAGAGCTGAGGGACAGCGCCCAGGCCCAGAGTTCAGGCCCCATGACTGGACCCCCCCCTAAAAAAAAAAGAAAAAAAAATCTCAGGCATTGACACCCCCCAAGTCTAACTGTAGTACCAATAAATTACAAATAAGTAAATCTATATGCCTATCTCGCAAGGCATACATTATTAATACATTACACTACTTACTTCACCCCCTCCCCTAGCTGCCTCTTAAAATAATTGATGGGCCCTCCTCTCAGCATCCCTCCAGGATTTCGTAACACCCCTCTGGGATGCTTTTCATTCAAGATACCACTGCCAGGGTAAGGCTGGCCATGTAATATTCCCCCTTGAAAACAGTGACGTGCAAAACCCTTAACTTTCCTCTGAGCCCTTTCAGTGATGTTCTATCCTACTTTTTAGCTTCATTGCCTACCACACCCCAAAATACAGCTTACCACATCACACAACACCATTGCACCACTCAACTATTTGGGCTCAATTATTTTGGACATTCTTCAAGCACAAATCCTATTCTGCCTCCGTTCATGCTGCACCCTTTGCCATGAACTAAAATGTTCACTCAAAAAAAAAAATCTTTATGAAGTATTTTTTGTCTATACACTCCATCTTTCCCTCCCTCTTCTATACTTCCATATAATTATAATAGCTATGTGCCTAATGCCAAGAGCCTTTCATGTATTAGTCTCACTTAATCCTCACAACAATCTTGTTATGCCAAGTTTCAATGGAATAAGCAAGACTGGAGCACCTAAGTGACTGTCTAGTCACCAGGTTAGTATGTGGTAATGTACCAAGGTGGGCACATATTCTTTACCACCATCTTATTCTGCTTCATGTAAAATCTCTCCTAATGGGCTGGGAATGTGGCTTAGTGGTAGAGTGCTTGCCTAGCATGCATGAAGCCCTTGGTTCAATTCCTCAGTACCACATAAACAGAAAAAGCTGGAAGTAGTGCTGTGGCTCAAGTGGTAGAGTGCTAGCCTTGAGCAAAAGAAGTTCAGAAACAGTGCCCAGGCCTTGAGTTCAAGCCCCAGGACTGGCAAAAAAATAAAAAAAAATCCTTCCCAATGGACATCAAACATCACATTCAATTCACAAACAGAACACCTTTAGAGCAGAGCCCTGCCCATTTACATTTGTCTCCTGATTACAGAGTTTGTCAGTAAGTATACTCTCAATGAACTAAATAGCAGAACTCTTACTGTAATTCCAGAGTAGCTCCTTGGTTATTCAGCCCTTTACTATACTTAACAATTTTGGCCTGTTACTAAATGCTTGAATAAATAAAAGGTAACTCCTTACCTAATGTGATCTTAATTTTTGTTGAAAATAAGCTTAGTATAGAAAAGTGGCTGAAATATGGAAGAACTTAATCATAAAACTATCACAAAGAGAAACTACAGACAAAAAAAATCAGCCAAGCCGGGCGCTGGTGGCTCATACCTGTAATCCTAGCTACTCAGGAGGCTGAGATCTGAGGATCGCGGTTCAAAGCCAGCCCGGGCAGGAGAGACCGTGAGACTCCTATCTCCAATAAACCACCAGAAAACCGGAAGTGATGCTGTAGCTCAAGTGGTAGAGTGCTTGCCTTGAGCTGAAGAGCTGAGGGACAGCGCCCAGGCCCAGAGTTCAAGCCCCACGACCGACAAAAAAAAAAAAATCAGCCATACATATGGCAAATACTCTACCACTTGAGCCACAGCACCACTTCTGGCTTTTTCCTTTTTGCTTATGTGGTGCTGAGGAATCGAGCCTAGGGCCTTGAGCATGCAAGGCAAGCGCTCTACCACTGAGCCACCTTCCCAGCCCCTGCCTGAGATTTTTCTAGAAAAAGCTTTCACTTAATTTGCTAGCACTCATGGATCAGAAGGGACTGTTTCTTTTCATTTGCTCATACCACTGTTTAATGGTTGCTGACTGTATGCCTTGTAGAATAACTTTGACTTGACCCATAGTAGGAACTGTATTGTGATATAGGTACACATATGTAACAAATAGTACTGCTTTCTAGAACATACTCTGTTTTCTATTCTGTTTGTGTTTGTGTGTGTGTATGTATGTATGTATGTATATATGTATATTGTGTGTATGTTTGTAGTGCTGAAGATTGAATCCTGGGTCTCATAGTACATAGGCACTTAGCTGCACCAGTTTCTGTTTCCATTGTTTAAAAAGTCTAGGATGAGCTGGGTGCCAGTGGCTCACACCTGTAAGTAATCCTAGCTACTCAAGAGGTTGGGATCTGAGGATTACGGTTTAAAGCCAGCCCGGCAGGAAAGTCTGTGAAACTCTTATCTCCAGGTATCTGCCGGAAAACCAGAAATGGCACTGTGGCTCAAGTGGTAGAGCACTCACTTTGAGCTGAAAAGCTCAGGGACAGCACCTAGGCCTGGAGTTCAAGATGCAATCGACCCCCCCCCAAAAAAAAAAAAAAAAAAAGTCTGAGATGGCCCACAAGCCCAAGTTTCCTTACTATTCAAATGTGGAAAAGATGTAATGTTACCAGCCTCATTTTACATTGGAGAGATGAAGGTGCTCTTTACTCCTTTCAGCATAAAATGTATTCCTAATGGAAAACCACCACAAACAAAAGGGGCTGTGGGAGGTGAACTGAGAGAAAGCAACTCTAGTGTTCTCGTTTGGCTGAATGAAGTCTTGTAAGGAGGAAATAAGCCCCATATTGGTTGACAGCAGCTGTTCTTGCACTAAAGGACATAACAGAGTAAGCTGTGCTGGTCTGGACTATAGGTTAGACAAAGAAGGGACAGGGTAGTGAAGGCAAGTCTTGGTGCTGTAAACCTGGGTATGGAAGGAAATACAAGAGCTTGCAGGATGGTGTTAATACTCCAGACATCAGGGGATAGTCTTAAGATGTTTTCAAAAGGAAGACAGTCTGGTCAGAAACAGAGCAGAAGAGGATAACATGTTCTTTGGTATTGTGTCCTTGTTAAAGCTCACAAAGATTTATCAAAAAGTAGCGTTGGTAAGAGGAGAAAGGGAAGGAAATCCTCTCTGATCCCAGGTTTTCTTGTGTGTGTGTGTGTGTGTGTGTGTGTGTGTGTGTGTGTGTGTGTGTGTGTGTGTGTGTGTGTTTATCTTGTTGAAAGTGTTATACTGGAATTTGATCTTGAGATACAGAGAAGCCACATTTTGAGAGATTTAATCAGGAGGCTTTACTAGATAGCTGGTGACTGTGTGTGGACACATGTCCCCCCAAAACTTGCAGCCTGCAATGCACGATAATACTGTTAGGAAACCGAGCCATGATGATAGTAAAGAAAGAGCAGAAAAACAATCTCATCAAACCAGATCAACTCTAATGGAGAGTTGAAGAGGGTCAGGAGATGTGAGGTATGGCGCAATGGTGGCAGGGGTGGAGGGGCCTAAATAGGGTCATGGTTAGGTGGGCAGGGTCACAGGGAGAGTTTGGAGCCTTGTGAGTTCATGGTCAGGTCTGGCAGGTCTGGGAACCTGTTGTCCAAGTCCCCACCCCATCTGCTTCTAGGAGTTCAGGGTCTATCGCCTTCGCCTGGGGGGTAGGAAAGTGGGTGGGATTTCACCTCTGAAGAGTTTTTGGAAAGTCCTCATCATCTACCAAGGTGCCATGATGCGCCAGATAACCAAAATTCATAGAAGGAAGGTCAGCACTTGGCAAAAGCAACACAGCAGTGCCCACTTACCTGGTCTTTGTCAGTTTTGGACCTCTGGTATACCACTGTGCTCCTGGAAGTACCTGGAAAAGAGACGGAGTTCTAAAGCAGTGATGCCGAGTTTCACTTGAGGATCCCCACTGTTTGCCTATAAATTCTGCTGCATTTCTCAGATTTCTCAGCGGTTCTCAGATTATTAAAGAGATCAGGGAACCATAAAAAATGCACAATTGAGCTTGGTATGCTAGTATATGCTGATCATAACATTTGAACCCATGTTTTGAGGGTTTTTTCTTTGCAGGTTAAAAGGCTGTGGTATCTTCAACGGGATTTGCCACCTCCCCATACCAGAGTTTGAACTCAGGGCCTTGTGCTTGCTTGACTTGTTTGCTCATGGCTGGGCTGGCACTCTGCCAACTTGCCATGCCTTGTACAGAGGAATCTCAGTTTGGCATGTCAGTTTATTGGTACAGTGAATCTTGATTGGTGTCCCCCTGCCCTCTCTTGCAATCTTAGTTCCTCTTACAGGGTCTGTTTCATTGGCACTTATTCATGTACCAAGTTACATCTACTCAGAAGCAAGTAAGCACCAGGCTTGGTGGTATGGCACTGCACTTAAGAGAGTGGGAGAGGAGAATCAAGAGTTTGAGGCCAGCCTGGACTATTACGAATTGAGACTGTCTTTAAACAAACAAACAAACAAAAGCCAGTAAGTGCAAGGGTGGAGTGGTAGAGCCTGCGCCTGCTGTCTTCTGCATTTCCAGCATTAGCGTGCCCAGCGTACTGCAAGTGTTCAGTCCATCCCTCCTCCCTTTCCTGTTTTGGTGCCTGTAATGCATCGCAGAGGAACTGCAGGCCTGAGCCCTGTGCTGCCAGCAGCCTTGTTTCCCATTCTTGAGGAAGCCATTCCAGGGGCTTAAAGGGCCTGTGTACAGGCGCGGAAGTGAGAGGAAGAAAGCCTGGCAGCCTGTGTGTCCTGCGTTCTGGTTTCTTGTACCTGGCTGTCATTCTGCAGTAGCTAGGATTTGTCCTTGTCCTCAGCAATGGCCTTTGGGTTTCTTGGACTTTTGTTAGAGATTTAACAGTGGTCAGTTCTGGGCACCAGTGGGACCTACAGCAGGAGTGTCTTCTTTGCTGACAGCCAGGAGGCTTTCAGGAAAGACTTTTTTGTCTTTCAACAGGTATTTTCCTAGACTTTTTTCTTTTCTTTCTTTCTTTCTTTCTTTTTTTTTTGGAAGCTTTCTGAAACTTGTTTCTTTCTCCCAGTTTTGTCTTTGAAAATATATAACCTTTATACATTTCCCTGTTCATTGCTTCAAAGTCTAAAAAGCCCATTTCTCTTGCAGGTACAGAGGGCCCAGGTGTCAGCATCTCTGAAGAGAGACAAAGTATTGCTGAAAACTCCTCAACAACCGTTGTTTACAACCCTTACGCTGCTCTTTCTATAGAACAGCAGAGGCAGAAGCTGCCTGTGTTCAAGGTATGTGCAGCCATAGTTGTCCACTCGACCCTGCAATAGTAGAGTTTCTCACTCTGGGTGCTTCTGTAGAACACACAGAGTAGTTTTCAGAACTTGTGCAGTGTGTAGTTGTGTGTGTGTGTGTGTGTGTGTGTGAGAGAGAGAGAGAGAGAGAGAGAGTATGTGTGAGAAAGAGAATCATATAAATCTGGAAAATTCTTGATTTTCCCCACTAGATCCTACATATTAGAAAACAGAAAGTATGGGAATGGCATTGTTTTCTCCCAGTTGTTTCTTTCTGTTATGGACAATTTTAGACATATAGAAAGTAGACAGCATAGCACAGCGAACTTTATATCCAGCTTCATTTTATCACCAGCATATGGGCAATTTTGACTTTCTTTGTAAAGACATATTTCTTTAACCAAGACAAACTGGGAATTGAGGTTACTTTCTGCTGTGATAGAGATGAGTTTTTTTTTTTTTTTTTAAATATGGTTTCCAGATGTTCTGTGCATGTCTTGACACTTGACTTGCGTGAAATGACTTGAGTGTGTGTTCAGCTCATGAGAGAACAGGTGTAGGTGTGTTCTCTGAGCACATTCAGAATATATGTGTTCAGGAAGTGGCGCTGTAGCTCAAGTGGTAGAGCGCTCGCCTTGAGTTGAAGAGCTGAGGGACCACGCCCAGGCCCAGAGTTCGAGCCCCACGACCGACAAAAAAACAAACAAACTATATACAGCACTCAGAACCTCGGCGATTTAAAACATTATTGAAAAAAAAAAAAAAAAGAATATATGTGTTCATGGTCCTTTAGTACTGATGGCCACCGTTGGTGGACAGGATTTGTACCCATTGGCAAATCTGCATGGAAAGTCCCTGTAGTCAGGAAGCAGGCTCTCAGCCGCAGGTGGGCACATGCTTGGAGCCAGTCACAAAGGCTGTGGAATTATGCCTGCCTCATGGCTGCCTTGGAATGACCCAAGTGGATATGGCCAGCAGCAGTACTTCTTTCCTTCTCCTGGAGAGACTGGGAAAGAACACTGATGAATCCCTTTGTCTACTGTGCTGCTAATTCCTCATCTGTTAATGTGTCCTTTCTCCAAATATGAGCCAGTAGTCTTAATTTAGTCAGATTGAGGATCATGGTTCAAAGCCAGATCAGACAGGAAAATCTTTGAACAAAAAAGATAAAAAACAGTGCCCAGGCCCTGAGTTCAAGCCCCTGTACACACACACACACACACACACACACACACACACACCCAGGTGCCCCTGTACTGACACACACACACACACACACACACGCACACGCACACACACACACACACCCAGGTGCCAGTGGCTTATGTCTGTTATCTTGGCTACTCAGGAGGCTGAGATCTGAGGATCGTGGTTCAAAGCTACCTCCTGTTCCATTAGTGCTAAAAGCAGCTTTACAAACAGAAGTTAGTAGTAGAAAACTTGCTAGCCTGTATGGGACCCAGGGTTTGATCCTCAATATGGAACAAGGAACAAAATAGAAGTTGAAACTTCAGCTAATCCCAGACTCTCCATTCTCCTGCCTCAGCCTTTTGAGTTCTGGTATTATAAGTTGCTAGGATTAAAGGTGTGCCAGTACTGAGGCTTGAACTCAGATCTTAGGCACTGTCCCTTATCTTTTTTGCTCAAAGCTGATGTTCTGCCAACTGAGCCACAGCTTCACTTTTGCCTTTGGTGGTTAATTGGAGATGAGAGTCTCATAGACTTTCCTGACTGAGCTGGCTCTGAACTGCGATCCTCAGATCTCAGCCCCCTGAGTATCTAAGATAATAGGTACGAGTCTCCAGCACTTGACCAAGTCCAGACTCTTTAGCTCCTAATTCAACCCCAACTGTTTCTCTCCTAACTCATTTGCAATCCAAACCTGAATTTTTCATAGCCTTCCCAATAGAGTTTGCATCATTTGCTTATTTCCATCTTCTTTCCTTTGCTTTTCTTATTTATGTGTCCTAGAATGCCTTAGCTGTTCTAAATTTATCTGTGTTTAAATTATCTCTCAAATTTTCCTTGATCACCTACCCATCTAGCCATCTCTCCACCGGTCTGTTCATCTGATGAATTTTCCATTTACAAAATAAATGCAAAGGGGGCTGGGAAGGTGGCTCAGTGGTAGAGCGCTTGCCTTGCATGCCTGAGGCCCTGGGTTCGATTCCTCAGCACCACATAAGCAAAAAGAAAAAAGCCGGAAGTGGCACTGTGGCTCAAGTGGTAGAGTGCTAGCCTTGAGCTGAAGAGCTGAGGGACAGCGCCCAGGCCCAGAGTTCAGGCCCCACGACCGGACCCCATAAAAAAAAAAATGCAAAGAACCTAAACTTTCATTATCTTCCACTCAAAATGAAAAGAAACACAGGAGTCCAAGCAGCAAGAGGAGAACACTTAGACAACAGTTAATTCCTGCACCTGCAGTAAGCTGTCCTTTGAACGTGTAAATACAATTCCTGGGCTCCTTCTGGCCCACTGGTCAGAAATTCCAATAGCAGGAATCTTCATTTTTGACAAATATCCTTTCACATTTAAAACTGTATATGTAGACCCCCATATAATGCCAAATTCAAAACCCCAAGTAGCCAGTCACTTGTTTGACTGGCCTCATCCCAGGCTTCTCAGCCTTACCATGCTGTTGGCGTGGTACCAGATGAGCCGAGGGATGATCAGAGAGCAGGAGGCAGTGTTTGTCTTCAGTCCCAGCCAGGTGGTTATGGAATACCTTCATTACCTTTTGGACCACCAGGCATGACTGTAATCAGTGATGGTTATAAACAACACCTTCTGAAGCCAAGTAGATAGGGCGTTGGATTTACCTGTGGCATTTTAGCTGAACTGCTTGGGGAAATGAGATTTAGTTGGAATGTATATGGAACTCATGAGTGCTTTATCGTGAACTTGGACTTAGAGGTACGAATGAAAGCCTGTGCTTTTGTTTCTTTTTTTGGGATTTTTTTTTTTTGGTTTTTTTTTTTTTTTTTTTGGTTGGTCATGGGGCTTGAACTCTGGGCTTGCTCTTCAGCTCAAGGCTAGAGCTCTACCACTTGAGCCACAGTACCACTTCTGGTTTTCTAAGTGGTTTATTGGAGATAAGAGTCTCAACCTTTCCTGCCGGGGCTGGCTTTGAACTGCAATCCTCAGATCTCAGCCTCCTGAGTAGTTAGGATTACAGGCGTGAGCCACTGATGCCCGGCTTCTGGGATTTTTAAAAACATAATAATAAAAAAATTAAAATTACGTTATATATACATGTTGGGCAAAGTTCAAAGTTCTCTTTTGTATCCATGTTTTCCAGCCTTCCTATTTCTCTGAAGTATTTATCCTTCCTTTGAAACTATAAATACTGTGCATCATTTACACATTCTATAACTTTCTTTCTTTCCATGTTAGTATAAATAGATTTTTTTCTTTTTGTGCTGATAGTGAGGCTTGAATTCAGGGTCTGGGTGCTGTCCCTTTACTCAAGGATGGCACTCACATTAGCCACAGCTCCACATTTGGCGTTTTAGTGGTTTGTTGGAGATACAGTATTACAGATTTTGCTGCCTGGGCTGGCTTTGAACCAAGATCCTCAGTTCTCAGCCTCCTGAGTAGCTAGGATTACAGGTATGTGGGTCATTTGTTTCTTTTAATAACCATGACTTATTCCATTGGAGTACCTTATTATTGATTTGCCCAAATACCTCTTTATGAAGATTTAGGTTTGAAGTTTTGGCTGTTGTAAATAATGTAATGTATATACACACACATACACATATGCACATCTTTGTATATACTTCGTATTAATGTGTCTGTAGTGTAATTGCTTATAACTAAAATCTTGAATTCAAGAATTGGCTTATTTTGCTGTTTGCAGGTATATAGTATATATACCTGCAACCAAAAGTTGGAAGAACATTTTGATGGTTCTTTCTAAAATTTACTTTTTGGAAACAACTCATCTTCAGTGTTGAAATATTTTTGTTTAGGTCTTCTGAGGCAAAATATGGCTGTTTATAATACACAGTTATTCTTTTCCAGCTTAGGAATCATATCTTATACTTGGTAGAAAATTATCAGACGGTGGTGATTGTTGGAGAAACGGGATGTGGGAAGAGCACTCAGCTTCCTCAGGTGAGTGGCCATTGAGCAGGGCCTGACGCTTTGCTGAAAGAACTCTCTCTACCACATTTTGGTCTAAGGTCTCCTCTCAGTAAATAATTTACCTCACGTTCTTAAAATTAAACCTTTAAGACTTACACTTTCCTTGAGTTTTAGTACAAAAGTTGACAGTTGTCTTTAATTTGTTATAATTCTAAAATTGTAATGGAATAGCCATTATCTGAAAGGAACAACGGCATTCATTCACAGAGTCATAATATATAGTTTTTGTTCTCAAGTAATTACAGTTGAAGAAGGCTGGGGGTCCAGTGACCTGCTGTAGCTACAAGTAAATATTTGCTATGACAGAATTATGCATTGCTACAGAAGAGACTTTTTATCAGAAAAAATCGTACCTGGTGTGGGTAGGAGTGGACGAGAGGGTCAGGAAAGGCATTTGAAATGACATTTGAAATAGACCTTAGATAATTGGTGAGCTGCCAGTGGAAAGGTAGTCCATTCCAGCAAAGGTTGTGAGTAGGGTGGAGAGGGGCAGGGTGCAGGCAGAGCTTGCCTTCAGACCTTGACGGGTAAAGCATGGTAGTTAAGGACAAGAATTGAAGGTTTTTCTTCCCCTTTAAAAAATTAATTTGTACTTGAATATAAAGTACATCTAGGGTAGTGTATATGTCCTACCTGTACAGCTTGATTTCTTTTCACAAGGGAACACACCTGTGTACCAGCACCCAGATCAAGACAAGAGCATGTTTACCACATAATGTCATGATAGGTACAGGAAGTAGGGGCCAGATTCTTAAGAAAAACTACCGGCAGTCTTAGACTTTTAGGGGTCAGGAGCAGGAGGAAGACAGACTATTTCCAGAGTATATTTTTCCAAATATCTGCTACCCTCCCATGGAGGGCTTCCTTTTTCTGCTAGAAACTCAATTCTCTTTTTCTGAGACAGTCACTGCTAAATTTGATTTATGACTTGGGAAAATTAGAAAGGCGGAGGCACTAAACATAAACGGAGCAGCTTTTTCTGAATAAACTTTTGCCAGAGTTATATATATCTTCTTGGAAAATACAACTGACTGAAGGACCAAACACTTATCAGTTTTGAAGTTTCACAAATTATATCTGGAATCTAGATGGTATTTTTTGATGATTCTGTCAAAACAATGGGTTGTGGAAACAAGCTCTTAAACCAGTTTGTACTAATACTGTTGGAGGGCCAAACTTGGGACTCCTTTAGTAGCATGGAGCACTGAGATGGGATTCGCTCTGACTGTGATTTCAGACCCTTCACAATACCCACTACCTCTGTCAGCACTATACCTGCTTCATCGTTCAGTTTCTTCCTTAAGTATGCAAAAGAAGACTGAATCACACAGGGTGTTGATATATAGACAAGTTGTTCTATTTTTCTTTGCTAGTTGTGGAGCCTGAACTCTGGGCCTGGGTGCTGTCCCTCAGCTCTTCAGCTCAAGTCTAGCGCTCTACCACTTGAGCCATAGCACCACTTCTGGCCTTTTCTGCTTATGTGGTGCTGAGGAATCGAACCCAGGGCCTTATGCATGCAAAGCAAGCACTCTAGCACTGAGCCACCTTCCCAGCTCCAGGTTGTTCTATATTTATGGAAATGACATTTTTTTTCCATTTAATACTCCACCTAGGAGATGAACTGCATGCTTTTAAGTGTTTGGTTTTGAGTGATAGGGTTGTGTTCTGGTTCTATATCGGGGCTTTGGTTTGCTGAGCTTGAATTCCAGGTATTACATGTTTATCAGCTTCCTTGGACAGGCTGTGTGGTCACTCTGGTCCCTCATCTGTACGTGGCTGATACTGCTCTGTCTTCCTGGTAGGATTAATCATGGGGAATAACCTGTAAGGCATTCAGCCCACTTCTCAGCACTTAGGAAGGTGCCCACCGAACATTCGTTTAGTGAGACCCCATCTGAACAAATAAACCAGATGCCATGGTACAAACTATCATTCCAGCTATACAGGAAGCCTAGTCAGGAAAATAAGAAAACAAGCCTAGTGTAACAACGGAAACAAAAAAAGATGTATACTCAGATGTGATTTTGCTTACAGTATCTGGCAGAAGCTGGCTGGACAGCGGAAGGAAGAGTGGTTGGAGTAACCCAACCTCGAAGAGTAGCTGCTGTGACAGTAAGTTTTTGCTGAGATTCAGCTTGTGTTTTTGTTTTTCCTTGACTTGTTTTCTTATTTCCTAAAAACTGCAAATGAGTAGAAGTTGTTCCTTAAGAATTTAGTTTAGGTAACAACAGTGAATTGAATTTTTGTAAATGAATACTTCTACATTATAAACATTTAAAGAAAGTCCTAAGGATACTGGTGGGCCCATTGCAACAATAAGACGTACAAGTCGTTATGTCGAAAATGAACTTTACAACTTTGGTGGGGGGGGAGGAAGGCTGGAGGGGGGTGGGGGGGTGGGGAGGGGGGAGGATGGATGGAAAGGGGAAACAAAGGAGGAGGCTACAATGCTTGATAAGAAATGTACTCATTATCTTGCCCATGTAATTGTAACCCCTCTGTACAGTATTTTCACAATTAAAAAAAAAGTCCTAAGGAAGTAAAAAGAAAACAAAGAATTTTTAACTCCCTCCCCAGATGTTCCAGCACAAGCATTGTACATATTTGTGAATGTCAACGTTCCTTTCAAAAGACAAGTGTCTGGCTGGTTGGATAAAATAATTGTACGGAATGATTATATGTTTACTTGTGTTGAATCTAACAAGAGGAAACTGAATGAAAATATGTGTAGCTACTGAGGTTTGAGTACATACTTGTTTATTTAAGAGAATTTATTAAAGCTGAGAAAGAAAAACCATAAAAAATAATATTACTTATTAATCAAACTATGTTACAGTTCCTGTTACAAAAGAGGAAATTCTCACATGTTCCTTGTGTGCCTTCCTTCCTCATTAGTTATAGAAACATTGCTGACATTTTTTTTTTTTATTTTTTTTATTTTTATTTTTTGGGTCCAGTCGTGGGGCCTGAACTCTGGGCCTGGGCGCTGTCCCTCAGCTTTTCAGCTCAAGGCTAGCGCTCTACCATTTGAGCCACAGCGCCACTTCTGGCTTTTTTCTTTTTGCTTATGTGGTGCTGAGGAATCGAACCCAGGGCCTCAGGCGTGCAAGGCAAGCGCTTTTACCACTGAGCCACCTTCCCAGCCCTGACATTTTTATTTCAAGCTCTATAATATATACTATTTTTTGTTTAATATAAATATCAGTATGCCCCTTCCTCCCTCCCCTGTTTCTGTGGATTTTAGAAACCACACAGAGCCTTCCCCCAAGCTCCTACAGACTCACAGCTTTAATTGAGGTTTCTTATACTGTTCTTAGGAAGAGGTGCATGATTTTTTTTTTTTTTTTTTGATGGTACGTCCATCAAACCCAGGATCGTGCACTGGCAAGTGGTACTCACACTTCAGCACTGTTCATGTGTTTTTAGTAAATTAATCCTATTTTGTTTCTTCTCATCTCTATCTGAGTCTCAAAATCACTTTTCTTAAAGAGAATTTAATATTTAGAATGAAAGAAGATAGTGAAATATATTATAATTTTTTTTTTTTTTTGTCAGTTGTGGGCCTAGGCGCTGTCCCTGAGCTCTTCAGCTCAATGCTAGCACTCTACTGCCTGAGCCACAGCACCACTTCCAGCTTTTTCTGCTTATGTGGTGCTGAGGAATCAAACCCAGGGCCTCATGCATGCAAGGCAAGCACTCTACCACTGAGCAACATTCCCAGTCCCTATATTACAATTAAAAAAATCCAAAATTGATAGTTCCATAAACATAAAAATATCCAGGAGACAGCATGGCTTTTTTTCCTGTGGTTTTGTGTGTGTGTGTGTGTGTGTGTGTGTGTGTGTGTGTGTGTGTGTGTGTGTGTGTGTGTGTGTGTGTGTGTGTGTGTTTATAGAAGTTGTACAAAGTAAGGCATTTCATCATGACATTTCCATGCATGCATATAGTTTACTCTGACCATATTTGCATTTTCTTTTTGTTTGCCCTTCCCCTTCACATTCCAGTAGTACCACATGAGCTGTTTTTTATTAGCACCAGTAACTATACAAGGGGAAGGAAGTTCATTGTGACATTTTCTCCTATGTAGACAATATATTCCAATCAATTCTCATTCCTGCTGAAAACAATCTCAGAGGCCAAAAGCAGATGTATAAGCAGTGCTTGATGTCTGTGAGAGGTTATCAGTAATGAATGCTCTAACTACTAGCTTCACCAGCTCAAAGTTTGACTTCCAGACCCAGGCCTTCCTCCATGAAAGATTCAGGGCAGACCAGGCTTTCCTTCACGAGAGATTCAGGGCAAGCTGAACGCCTACCTTCTTCTAGCCTCCACACTCATAGATGCCAGTGTATCTTGCCCCCAATCCATGTATCTTGCCCATGTATCTTGGAAAGCTCAGGGCCCCAGCACTTTCTGTGTAGTACTTAGTAGTTGGTTTTTTTTTATCTACTAGGTGGTCTTGAAATCGCTAGGTAAGCACTGTACTATTTGAGCCACATCTTCAGTTTTTTTGCTTTTAGTTTATTTTTCAGATAGAGTCTAATGGTTTTGGTCTTGGACTGTGATCCTTCTACTTCAGAATAGTTGGGATTACAGATACACACCTACACACCTGGCTTGTTTTCAGATAGGATCTCATGTTAACTTGACCTGGGCTGGCTTTGACTATGATACTCCTCCCAAGTAGCTAGGATTACAATTGTGGGCATAGCCCTGCTTTTGTTTTTTGTTTTTGTTTTTCTTTTTCTTTAGCTTCTTTCTGTATATATTGGGATTGTCAAAAAGGTAATATTTGATAGCCAGTTGATGAGGTTATTGGGAACAAAATGTAAATGATAGATTAAAAGTCTATGAAAAAGCCAATAGAATATAACCCTGTATGATTATAATGATGAAATTTTAAAAAGTTTGAGGGTAAAACTATTTATTTACTGATTAGTTTAGACGTAGGGTTTTGTTTATATTCCTGTCTGGGCTTGACCTTGGAGAAATCTTTCTGCCTTAGCCTTTTAAGTGCTGGGATTATAGCCATATGCTCATATCCAGCTAAAAACATATATTTTTTTTCTTTTTTTGGGGGGTCCGGTCGTGGGGCCTGAACTCTGGGCCTGGGCGCTGTCCCTCAGCTCTTCAGCTCAAGGCTAGCACTCTACCACTTGAGCCACAGTGTCACTTCCAGCTTTTTTCTTTTTGCTTATGTGGTGCTGAGGACTTGAACCCAGGGCCTCATGCCTGCAAGGCAAGCGCTCTACCACTGAGCCACCTTCCCAGCCCTAAAAACATATTTTTTATGCAAATGTATACAATACAAATAGCAAAACCACTAGAATTAAGAAGCTTGTTTTTTTCTCTATAGAGCCATATGATTTTTATGAAGAGGATTGGCCAACTTAGTCTCATTTCTATAAGCCTATTCTCCCTTGAGGCTCCTACTGTTTTTGTATACATTGTCTGTGCCATTTTCTGGGACTTGTAGTATAGTGGTGTTTAGGGTTAACTCGAAACAATAACAATAATAAAACTGGCTTGGTGAAATGCTGGTTATGGGGAAATACAATCTCTAGAGTTAAAAGCTGTGTAGGACGAATGTCTGGTTTCATAAGAGGTTTTGAAAGACTACATGATGTAGACCAGCTGCCTGATGATTGGTTCAGATTTGGCCTGTCAGATCTATAATTTCAAGTCACTAGGCAAAGCTATTTCTGACTTTATGTGTTCTTCAGTTTCTTAAGCAGTAATGAACAGATAATACAAAGTGAGCTTGGCTGAGAGGACTAAGTGCAGGGAGACTCTCGGCTCCTGTGCCTGGGGCTGCTGGGCCAGAATGGCTGTGTTAATCAGCTCTGCCTCAGACACCTTCGGTAGTGGTCATGCTCCAAACTAGGGTTCAGGAACTCCAGACGAGGGAGTAGGGGTGAAGGATATGTGTGCATGGGATAGAAGGCCAGTGGATGCCTGCCTCACCTGGCTTGATGTGCTGGCTTCCTGGAAGCCTCTATTCTTATCTCTTTCTTTTGACCCTGCACTTATGTGGTTAGGTAGTGAATGTGAACATTTTTATTGTCTTTTAAATTAAAATCAATGACAAACATTACTACTTTTTCAGATTTGCCCCAAGATTATGATAGCCAGCTATATATATATATGTATATATGTATCAGTTAGTACATGGAATAATTAGTGTGTATATCTGACCTGCAAACAGGACATATATGTTAGTACTTGATATAGTTTTCACATTGTTCTCTCATAACCTGCCCTTTGTCTCCTCCTTTGCCACTGCTCACATACTAGTTAATGATGACCTTTAGTCTCTGTAGTACGTGCTCTGTGCAGTAATTTCTATGTCTCTATTTTCAGCATGATCTTTCTTCCCAAAGGTTGCAGGGAGAGTAGCCGAGGAAAGGGGTGCAGTGCTGGGCCACGAGGTGGGCTACTGCATCCGCTTTGATGACTGCACCAACCCACTGGCGACAAGAATTAAGGTACTTGAGCCGCTTTTGCTAGTGTGAGTGGGAAAGAAGGTTGTCTTGGAGGAACTTAAAGCATTTTTCCCTTACTGGTGAATAGGACAGAAAAGATAGAACATCAACCTGGTTCTTGTGGATGTTAGTTTACTAGGAAGTATAGAGTCTTTGAATCTTAATCTAGAAAGAAACTCAGAAGTAACGTTTAACCCTTAGTTTACAGAGGAGAAGGTTGAGGGCCTGGGAGGGTGAATGACTTAACCTCTTGTGATATGCTCCTCAGTCACAGTGCCACCAGTCAGAGCTGCCATTTCTTATGCATGTTGTTCTTTCCTACTGACTCACATAGATTTCTAAATATAGAAATAATCCTACCAATTTAAAAGCCAGATGAAATCATAGAAATTGAATTAGTGTAGAATTCATAAATGATGTTTTCACTAGTTAAAACTGGCCTAGTTTAACATGATAATGGACTTTGTCTCTGTCTTTTTTTTTTTTTGGGTCCGGTCGTGGGGCCTGAACTCTGGGCCTGGGCGCTGTCCCTCAGCTCTTCAGCTCAAGGTTAGCGCTCTACCACTTGAGCCACAGTGCCACTTCCGGCTTTTTTCTTTTTGCTTATGTGGTGCTAAGGAATTGAACCCAGGACCTCATGCCTGCAAGGCGAGAGCTCTACCACTGAGCCACCTTCCCAGCCCTCTCTGTCTTATTTGACCTAGTTGCTAATATTAAAGTAATTATTATCAATAGTAATCAGTATATAATCAGCCCAACAGGGTGTCTGTTGTTTAGCGCTATGCTGGAGTCAGGTGTAATCAGAACAAATGCTCTGATGAAATGAAGATTGGTTATTAGAATCTCAGTTCTCTCTCCTGCAACAGAGGAAAGTTGAAAATAATCAGATGAGGAGTGGTTTGTAAACATGTGACCTTGTTCCAAGCTTGTGTAATTTGTTATCTTTGACATGCATTTTTCCAGGTGAAGGGAGTGTTCATCTGTGCTATCAAGCATAGCGAGGCTAGCTCGTTTTATTTTTTTTTACATTTTTTTATTATTATATCTTTAAGTAGTTGTATAAAGAAGTTCCCATTCTACAAAACAGTATATGAGTGCAAGATGTCTGACAACATTGCCACCCATCACTCCTAGCCCATCCCTTCTCTCACTTTTTTTAAAAAAAAAATTGAGATTAGGTGATTACATAAATTTCACATATTTCACAGTATTGTGGAATAGTGATTCTCAGTTAAAGTCACAAACACATTTTAACCTTCACAAGGCACATTGTCATTATCATGGTCTATAAAGTTTGTGAATTCTATGAGCTTTGACAATACAAATTATTTCTTCCACATTAGGTTCGTTTTCTTTTTCCATGGGTTACGCAAGCACATGATTCTTAGGCTTTCACGAGAAGCTTTTGAGTTCTATTTGGCAGTAACTTCTAGATGCTCAGTTCCTAGTAGTTTTTCACTTTCCCTCCTGTGCGTGCATATGGCAGCTGGTGCCAGGGCCAAGCGGACTATGGTGGGAAAATGTCCTGCTCTTAAAAAACAAAATACTTAAGATTTGGCACATGAGGGAGATGCCTAGCCTTTGTTAATTACTGAACTTGTAATGGACTAGTAGCAGCATCCAGTAGATGTCATATATTTCAGAACATTTCATAAACCTTATTAACTGTAGCTGGCATCCCATGAATACTTTCTATATGCTAAACCTTTGTTTTCTCTTGTCATGGTAACCCTGTAAAGTAGTTTTATTACCACATTTTAGAAGTGAAGATTCAGACTCAAAAGAGGATAAGAACTTCTCAAGGTACTTATAGCAAGTAAAGGTAGAGCCAGGATCTGAATTTCTAGCAGACCCCATAAGCGAGGTTCTTAGCCTCAACCCTACGTTTACTTATCAATAGAAGGTGAGGTTAATAACCTTAAGAGCAGCAACCTATAACCTGCATTTGGGACATAGTAAGACCAGTTATGTCAGACTCACAGCATCCTTGGGGCAGACTTGGGTTTGTCTTCATTATATTCATTAACAGTACCAGAGCAGCCCAGAGCAAGTGGGCCTTTGTTGTTAACTGAGGTAGAATTCTGCCTCATTTACTTTGTAACCTGATAAGAATCCTGTATTTGAAATTTTTGGTTATACTTGAACTAACAGAATTGCCCTTGAGCTTAAAGTCATTAATTTATGTTTAAGTAAACTTTTTCTACAATTTTGTGTCTTTACTTTTTAGTTTCTTACTGATGGAATGCTGGTGAGGGAAATGATGGTTGACCCATTGCTAACAAAATACAGGTAAACATGACTTTCCTGTGATAACTTCCCTATTGTTTCCAAGTATTCAAGTGAGTTAAGAAATATTGTGTTTGTAGCTGAGATTCATGTATGTGTAGCTGCCCAAAGCTTTTTTCTTGTTTTTTTTTTTTTTTGGGTCCGGTTGTGGGGCCTGAACTCTGGGCCTGGGTGCTGTCCCTCAGCTCTTCAGCTCAAGGCTAGTGCTCAACCCCCTTGAGCCACAGCGCCACTTCCGGCTTTTTTCTTTTTTGCTTATGTGGTGCTGAAGATCGAACCCAGGGCCTCTGGCATGCAAGGCAAGTGCTCTACCACTGAGCCACCTTCCCAGCCCCCAAAGCTTTTTTCTTGACCATGGCTGTTCCGACTCATGGTGATGTTCTCAGAATGTAGGTAGTCTGCTTTTTTTTACAGAAAGCCAAAAACCTAGCACATGGAAATTCCTGTTACTGTTTAGACAACCTGTTGACTTGCCCTTTTTGTTTAAATGTTGCTTCTCTGCCACTTTAGAATGGGGGTGAGTACAATCACGGCATGGCCAAGAACTCACTGCTCAGGGTTTTGTTGAATATGATAGAGACCAATTTCTTTATTTCTCCTTAATAGCTTTCTCGCTCCTTTTATGTCTTCCATTATGATATTAGCCTTAAGATTCTCTCCTAGGCTCTGTATCCTGGGAGAAGATGTCTCATGTGACTGCCTGGTACATGTGTGTTATAGCTACCGTTACCTCCCTCTTGGGCTGTTATTAAGCTTAATGGTCTTAAGATGGTTGAGCCTTGTTCTGATTTTTATATGTTCTGTAGGGTTATAGATTTTAACTATCATTTAATATTAGGTATTAAATCCCTTTGAAATCCATTGTGGGTGGTAGAGCTCTTTAACGATAGTGGTTAGTCATGTTCTTCACCAAGATATATTGAGGTCACCATGCTTATTGATAGGAAGTGAGGGCTGAATACCCCTTTGTTGGACTGGTTGGGATTTTGGGGGTGGCTGTTGCGATGCTCACTGCAGGCACTCTCTGATTCCTAGTGTCATCATGCTGGATGAAGCCCACGAGAGGACTCTGTATACGGACATTGCCATTGGCTTGCTAAAGAAGGTATGACTCCTCTCCTTGCCTCTGCTTTCTGTATTTTGTTGTGTTGCCAACTTAGGAGAGTAACTGCAGTAATTCTGAAAATCCAAAAAGGATAAGGAAAAAATAAAAATAAAACCCAACCAGTATTCCACCTATTCAGAGAAGATCCCTGATGGAATGTTAGCATGTGTCTTCTTTTTTTTTTCCTGAGTGTGATTTTGTGTTTTTATGCTAATTTATATCTTGCAAGTTCCCCTCTTTTCAAGATCATTTCTGTGTCATTAAATATTCTTTGAAGAATAACTACATAATCATCTGCCTTTGCCATAAAATATGTAACTCTTTCCCTACTGTTTGGCATTTTATGTGGCTTTCGGGTTTTTTTTTTTTGTCGGTCGTGGGGCTTGAACTCTGGGCCTGGGCGCTGTCCCTCAGCTCTTCAGCTCAAGGCGAGCGCTCTGCCACTTGAGCTACAGCGCCACTTCCGGTTTTCTGGTGGTTTATTGGAGATAGGGGTCTCATGGTCTCTCCTGCCCGGGCTGGCTTTGAACCGCGATCCTCAGATCTCAGCCTCCTGAGTAGCTAGGATTATAGGCGTGAGCCACCAGCGCCCGGCTGGCTTTCAGATTTTATGTATTGCAAGTATAGTTGCAGTAAACGCCTTTTATTTGTGTCGCATTTTTGTTTCTTTTTGCTTTTTAAACTATTCATTGTAAAGTTTTCAAGCCTACTCCAGAGGAGATAAACAGTTGTAATGACCTCTGCCAACACTCTGGTTCCAAGAATCACAATAAATGTCCAAGTTTGCCTTGTTTCTACTTTCTCTTCCCTACTCCCATTTTCTTCTTCTTTTTTTTTTTTTGGACAAATTCTCAGTGACAGGAGTCCAGAAAACAATAGTAGACCAGGGTGATTTAGAATAGGACATGCTGGGACAGACATGCTGGGTTCAGATTCTGACTGCCATGCTTACCTATCTTTAAAATAGGGATAATAAAGTCTATATCTGTGCCTCTAGTCACTGGGGCTATTTAGATTTAAGTTAAGTAAGAAGAAATAAAATAAAAGTCAGCTTCCCTGCCACACTGGCCTTGTTTATTCCATGGGCTTTACATAGCTTCCTATGGCCAGTGGCTGCTGCACTGGAGTGAAGAATGGTCTCCTGGTCAGCGCAAGCTCTGCATCGTTTGTTATGAGGCTCACTCAGAATAGACAGCTTCACAACTAGACCATGTGGGACCTTCGTCTAAGTAAGAAAACCATGCCCTCTCAGAGAGGATATCTGAGCTAGGTAAAGGGAAGGTGGGCTTGATTTTAGATTCTCTTAACCTGTTTGGCCCTCAGGCATCTTTGTTGGGCTTATGTATGGCTGTATACAAGTCTTGTAGTTTATAACATGTAACTTAGAATTTGTGAGCTGTTTTTGCTGTATTTTATTTGCAGTATTTTATTTCTTGGCCAGAATGAGACTTTTTGATAGAAGGAATTTTCTTACCAGGTTAGGAATAGTAAAACAAAGAGGGTCCATTTCTCTGCATCTTTGTACAACACTGAGTATTTGCCACAGAAAAATAAATCCTTGTGGTGGGATAGATGAAAAAGAAATCATTCTTCATTATTGTTAGGGATTTTGCTCAGGTTTATTTGATTAGTTTCTACTACCCATTAACCATCTGCTTTTTGAATAACTATATTCTGTTTTGATGCTATCAATTGTTATGTCCTTGCTTTGTTTTTGGTGCCAGTCTAGGGGCTTGAACTCTGGACCTGGGCACTGTCCCTGAGCTTCTTTTGCTCAAGGCTAGTGCTCTACTACTTGAGCCACAGCTCTGCTCTTGGCTTTTTAATTTTTTAAAAAAAATTATACTTCCAAAGGTGTTATATAGCGAGATTACAGTTACGTAAGTAGGTAAAGGGAACATTTATTTTTGGACAATGTCACCCCTTTCCATATTCTCTCCACATCTGCTTTTTTGGTAGTTTATTGGAGATAAGAGTCTCATGTAGCCCGGTGTTGGTGGCTCATGCTTGTAATCCTAGTTACTCAGGAGGCTGAGATCTGAGGATTGCGGTTCAAAGCCAGCCTGAGCAGGAAAGGCTGTGAGACTCTTATCTCCAATAAACCACTTAGAAAACCAGAAGTGGTGCTGTGGCTCAACTGGTAGAGCTCTTGCCTTGAGCTGAAGAGATGAGGGACAGTGCCCAGGCCCAGAGTTCAAGCCCCATGACTGACAAAAAAAAAAAGAGTCTCATGTAGCTGGGCACTGGCAGCTTATGCCTGTAATCCTAGCTTCTCAGGAGGATGAGATCTGAGGATTATGGGAAGCCAGCCCCAGAAGGAAAGTCCCCATGAGACTCTTATCTCCAGTTAACCACTCAAAAGCCAGAAGTGATGCTGCTGTATCCCAAAGTGGTAGAGCACTAGCCTTGAGCAAAAGAGATAAGGCTAAGGGACAATACCCAGGCCCTGAGTTCAAGCCCTATGACTGGCACAAAAAAAGAGTCTCATGGACTTTCCTCCCTATCCTTACATCTCATCCTTACATCTTAGCCTCCTGTGTAGCTAGGATTATAGGCATGAACCATCAGTGTCCAGCTTATGTCTTTGCTTTTTTGACTATGTATAGATTCAGGCTGCCTCAGCAGCGACGTGTCAGGAAAAAAATAGTCACATTCAGGGCTTAAAAGCTATATGTGTGTGTGTGTGTATATATATATATATATATATATATATATATATATATATATATGCATATATATGTGTATATATATTTTATTTTATTTTTTTTGGTTGGTCCTGGGGCCTGAACTCTGGACCTGGCCGCTGTCCCTCAGCTCTTCAGCTCAAGGCTAGTGCTCTACCACTTGAGCCACAGTGCCACTTCTAGCCTTTTCTGCTTATGTGGTGCTGAGGAATTGACCCCAGGGCCTCCTGCATGCAAGGCAAGCACTCTACCACTGAGCCACCTTCCCAGCCCTCTTTTATATTTTGTATAAAGTTATTCTTAGCTTTGTATTTTAGAAAAGTCCTACATTTACAAAACTAGAAAGAATAGTATGATGGCTCAATTTTCTTACGACTTTATTAATTTGTGGTTGTTTTGTTGGTAAGCTCCCTTTCCTCCAAAAATCTTTTTCCCACACTGGGTTGTTTGAAGTAAATTTTAGGTATCAGATTATTCCACCTATACATATACTGTTATTGTGGCTTTCTAATATCTTATTTTTTAGATTCAGAAGAAGCGAGGGGACCTTCGGTTGATTGTGGCTTCAGCCACTCTGGATGCAGAGGTGAGAGCCTTTCCCTCCTTCTTCCTCTCCTGTTAACACTGGAATTTTTGGGCATAGCCTTGGGAAGTTACCTCTAGCAATCTCTCATCTTTGGCAGAATGGCCTGCCTTCCTTCTGGGGCCATCTGGTGTCCTAGATTCCACCAAATCATAGGATGCTCCTTTTTAACTGTGGGTGGAAATTAATCTGTAATTAGCCAAGAGAGTTTATGATTACCTACTTGTTTCTCTACATGCTGTCTTTCTACATGGCAGCTTTTTTCTTTTCAACTTCTTTCAGTGTGAAACTACGGTTCTTAATTTATGTATGACCATAGCATATATGGTTAGACTTGTGCAATTGGAGCTTACTCTCTATACATAATCATTTCCGTGTGTGTGTGTGTGTGTGTGTGTGTGTGTGTGTGTGTGTGTGTGTGTGTGTAGTGCTGGTACTAGAGTTTGCATTCAGGGCCTTGTATGTTCTTGTTTGGCCTTTTTGCTTAAGGACTGCCATTCTACCACTTGAGCCACATCTCCAGTTCCTCATGTTGATTTTGTGTGTGTGCCAGTCTTAGGACTTGAGCTTGGGGCCTGGGCACTGTTCCTAGTTTTTTTTTTCTTTCTTTCTTTTTTTATTGTATTTTTTCATTGTAAAGATACTGTCCAGAGGAGTTACAGTTAAATGAGTAAGGTAATGTGTACATTTCCTATCAAGCATGATTACCCCTTCCTTTGTTTTTCCTCACCATCCCTTCCCTCTCCACCTCCCCAAAGTGTCCCTAGTTTTTTTTTGCTCGAAGCTAGCACTCTACCATTAGAACCAGAGCTCTACTTCTGGCTTTTTTTGGGGGTGGGGTGGCGTTAATTGGAGATAAGAGTCTTGTGGACTTTCCTACCTGGACTGGCTCCTGAGTAGCTAGCATTGTAGGCATGAGCCACTGGCTCTGGCTGTTAATTTTTTTTTTTATGGCTAGATTTACATTGTTTTTCTCTCTTGATGACTCGCATTTTAGTTCAAACAGCTGTTCAACTTTACACGGTTTTTGGCTACTTGCTGTTATTATCTGCTAAGCACCAATCTAGTTATAAGTGATCCATGTACACTCTCTCACACCTTGGGGGAGGCAGAAACAAAATTAGATGTTTACTGTTCAATATTAAAAGTGCCAAGGCAACCAGTGAAGTAGTACTTCAGCTAGCTTGGGGGTATCTAGAAACTCACCTAGGAGGTGACAGTTCAGTAAGGTTTGAACGATGCACAGTAGTTTTTGTCTTTTGGGGGTTATTGAGATTTAAAATTTCTCTTGTTTTTATTCTTGCCTGTAGTAGTTGATATAGGAGACTTCCTGGGCTTAATTTTTTGTTTGAAGCGGGAAGGCAGAGTAAATTCTTCAGACCTTTCTGTATAGGACCTGCAGGGCTCAGCTGAGATATGATTTCTTCTTTCCACCCTTGCCTGTGTATCCAGTGCCTGCTCTGTGAAGGGAAGTGTGAGGTCTGTGTGGGGGTCATCCGTGGGCTGGATAGGATAGGACCATGCGGGTGTGGCAGGAGTTCCTTTGTAAGAGTAAGAGAACAAAGAAGAGGATAGGAGTGGGCTGCGGAGGGCAGAGCGAGGAGCATTGTGGGGAGGGAGATGAGGAGGGTGTGGCTTAAGTAGCATTTTACAATTGTTACTATAAAGGTGACCTACAGAGGGGTTACCATTTCATAAGTCAGATAATGAGTACATTTCTTTTTGGACAATGTCACCCTTTGCCTCCTGGGCTTGCCCACAAGTTGTATAGTTCATTTTCAACATAGTGTCTAGTGAGTACCACTGCTGCATTTGTTCACCTTTTGTCCCTCCATTTCTGTGCTCTCCCTTACCACTCCCCCCCCCCCCCCCCCCCCAAAGACAGATAAATGAACTAACAAGACAAAATGAAAGACTCTTGTTTCCATTTTCCTGGAATTCATTTTGATAAATATTATTTTATATGTTCAGAGGCACTGAGATATTCTCTTTTGGTCTCACTGTGTGTGAACGCCTAGAGTCTTGTATAATTTATCATGTCCTGGTATATTTTAGATCTACCTTCCACATTTGAGAGAACATATGCACTGTTTGACTCTGAGCTTGGCTTACCTCACTTAACATGATTTGTTCTAGGTCTAGCCTTAGGTAGCTCAGAGGTACCCAAATCTCATCCCTGCTTCCCAGCTGTTGCATCTGTGGGTGATAGACTAATTCCAAATGTCTATAGGATAGGAATAGGGCTGCTGATGGGCCACCTGCTCTGGTTTTACTTGGGGACTAGGGTGGCTTAGCTTGAAGGTGAAGTTACCTGTGATCAGTAGGTGCTGAGACCAGTGGAGAATGATAGGGGCTTTGATTGCTTTAGTTGCCTTGTTAATGTAAGCTCAGTAAAGCAATTAATACATGACCAGCTGTAATTGCCATGTATTTATTGACCTTTGTGTTATTCAGTATTGTTTTGCTTTCATTTGCATCTATCCACCTACAGTTGCTGGCAGTTCCTGCTTTTTTTTTGTGTGTGTCACAAGTCCAACTATTTTAGAAAGACTAATTTTCCTCTTTCCAGTTTCCTGGAGACGGAACCTGGGGTCATCTGGGGTCGGAATCCCATCGTGTTCCAATCTGCATCTTGTAGGCATGTGGGGGTGGGGTGAGGGCTTGGCCACAGGGAGCCCACCTGTGTGGGTCAGATAGGAGCTGCTATCAGCAAAGTAATCCATGGAGAGCTGGAAGACAGCCCAGCACGAAGCTATATTATTTTCATTTTGTGTCATGGACTGTTTGCTTCCCCTAAATCTCATTATATTTCTTACCACATGTCCATTGGGAGCCCTCCTCCTAGACCCTGGCTCAGACTCTTCTTTTCTAGGTGTGGGGGAGCTCCTTTTATTGTTCCTCTTCTTGATTCTACTTCAGGATTCATATATTGTTCCTACTATATTTACTTGCTTGTATATATTTCCAAATGATTTTTATAAATGATAAGGATCTTAAGGACCAAGATCTTACAACATCTTATGCCTTCTCAGTACATGCTGTTCTTCTTGCAGGAAGTTGAGCCTGTCTTATTCCTCAGTACCACATTTTCCTTAGCAGCTAAAGTTTAGTTATCTATTCCAACGAAGTTGTCAAGGCACGATCTTCCTCCTTGTTCTTCTACGTGCTTTGTTGTAACTTTCACCACTGTCTGCCACGCCCTTCATAAAACCTTCCTGCTCTTCTTGCAGTCTGACCCTGTCATCTTTGTTCTTTTTTTTTTTTTTGCCTCTGCCATAACTTCCTCCCAGGCACCTTTGGCTTCTGCTCTTCTTTCTCAAGGCTGCCACTTGGGGTCCCTGGATTCATTCATCTGATAGTTGGTACTCTACAAGTGGTTTTGATCTTGTTCCTGTGAGCCAGCCTTAGCTGTCCAGCAGTTGGCTGGTTAGGGAATACTGAAACTTTGAAGCCTGCTCTCTTGGTTTTGTCTTAGCTCCTTTCTCATGATCATAGTCCTTTAGTCCAAGACTGATTGCTTTAGGAAGTGTGAGTCCCTGCTTGAATAAGAATCGCTTTTACCCTTCTCCCCATCATGATTGTGAGTGTGAATACTCACTGCTTGTCAGGTGCTATCCTAGCAGTCATTCTCTGGAATGCTTTGCCTGAGTTCATACTTTGATTCTCTCTCCCTTGAACTATTTTAATAATTCCCTCTGTAGTCCACTTGCCTGAAATCTCTTCTCTATTTTGTCTTCATAATGCCACAAAAGTTGGGGATGCAGAACAGAGGTCTGATGATATCATATTCATCCTCACTGCCCTGGTCTTACTGAATAGTGTCACAGGCAGTCATGCACGCTGTTCAAACCTTGCAGCAACCTGGCCAGCAGGTAGAAGTTTGTTCATGTTGTAGATGAGAGAGTTAACTCAGTTAAGGTAGGTAGGCATACCTGAAATGGTTATCTTTTTCCTTTAATAGATGCTTCTTTACATCTTTGTCCACCCTTAGTATCATGCAGAAGGGATGTTGTTTCTTCTTCCCTTTTAGTAGTGAGCATCTTAATCCTTTGTGGCTCAGCCAAGGGGCAGTGCTGTGTCCAGGAAGACTGAAAAGCCAGTTGTTACTAATCTTTTGTTCATTCAGATTGTGATTATTTGCAGGTCTTTTGTGGTAGGCATTCTTCCCCCTTTTATTTTATTCAATCATAAAAATGGTCCTTGGCACAAAATATGTCTTTCCTAGACTGTTTATGCTTTTGGAGAGTGTATATGGGTCTGTTCTTTCTTGCTTGTGCCTTATTTCCAGTGTGCCCATGATTGTATGACCATTGGATGCAGGAAAGCTGATGTGATTTGGAGCAGTTAACCCAGAAGGATTGTGAAAGGGGTGTTCTGTGTGGAATTCTTTGTAGCACAGAGTCCTGTTGTTGACAGGAAGTACTTTTATGTATTCCTCTTGCCAAACACAGAGCTGAGGTTTTGTATCAGGTGGTCAAGTGCCATGGGGCAGGATGTGCCTCCAATTTGGAAGAAAGTGCCTGGGGCCACCTCTTCCCACAGGGTCCCGTAGGAATGTGGAAGTGTGTGATTGATGACCTGCCTATACAGACAGTATGTGAATTCCTGTAGGACAGGTAGAGATGAAGATGTACACTGATGTACATTGCCATCAATCAATGTATATCAGCAACATATGTACAGTTCACAGAAGCAATCATATCCTTTATAGAGATGTGCTTTCCAGATGATTAGAGCCGTGTGTTACCCTGCCTTAACATGCACTCAACTTGAGTCACACTATGATCTAACCTTCAGTTAAATAAAATATAGAAGGTTAGGAATAAAATTATTCCACAACTACATGATGAATTACTGAATGCAGTTTTGGAATCTAATCTTCATTATATTTATCAAACCTTTATAGTCATTGAATATAATTCCTTAAAGTGTCAATATGTACATGGAAAAATTAGTGCTGTATAATCTGTTAAACATATGAATATTTAGCTGCCAAACTCTCCTCCCAGTTTTATATTAATTTTCTTCCCAAGAAATATTTTTTTATTTTTTGAGAGAGAAAAAAAAATCACTTTTTTTTTTCTTATAGAAATTTCGAGATTTCTTTAATCAAAATGAAACCAGTGACTCAACCAGGGATACCTGCGTGATCCTTACAGTGGAAGGGCGAACGTTTCCAGTGGATATCTTTTATCTGCAAAGGTTTGATAAAGCTTGATTCTCCATGCTAGTGTTTGAACAAGGCTTGAAGTGTGGGATGACAGGAAACTGCACCTGCTTGTAGAACTGAGATGATGCAGAGGAGCATGTGTGTCTCCTGTCTCTGACAGGTGTTCCAGAGCCCTGCTCAGCCCCACTGCTGGACTTGGGTCAAATCTTGACCCTGACATGCAGGTCTGCTCAGCCTGTGGTCCTTAGCTCAGCTGGAGAGCAAAGTTGTGGAAGTGGTAAACTGGGGTTTGCCAGGATGCCCAAGCAAGGATGTACTGGTGCTGGACAAGAAGGGACTCCTAATGCCTGTACCTTTTCAGGGTGAACTAGGACCAGAACCTGGTCTAGTGGCTGATAAATCTAGGGGGCGGTGAACTTCACTTCTGAGTTAAAGATGCCCACCACTCCATCCACTCAATCCAGGGGTGCTGACTGTAGCCAGGAGGGAAAGTGAACTGGGAATAGGATAGGCCTCAGCACTCACTATAGTCATTGTTTTTTCCTGGCTCAGTATCTGTAGGCATTGATATATTCTTCTTATTTCTTTACAAATATAGCTAAAACAAAGTTCCCTTTTATAGTTTTTGAATGTGGCATCTAATACATACACATATATAGTGTGTATGTATATATTTAATATCTTTCTCGCAGTAGTAGGGATCAAACCCAGGGCCTTCTTCAGCCTTACCAAGTATTTTACCACTGAGTTACATGCTTTGCCCTTGGTTACTGTATTTTATATATATAAAGAAAAGAAGACTTCATATTTATTTTATTTTGTATAGTTACTACTGGGCAGGCTCAAACTAACTTTCATGAAGTTTTGCTGCCAGATTAGTATGGTAATTATTCTATTATTAATGATCATTTTAATGATGAACTTAGTTAAACATATGTCTTTTCAGTCCTGTTCCAGATTATATCAAATCAACTGTGGAAACTGTGGTAAAAATTCACCAGACAGAGGGAGATGGAGACATACTAGCCTTTCTTACTGGCCAGGTAATTCCATTGGGCCTCTTTGATGAACAAAATTGTTAAGGCAAGAATTAATATAGGGTCTGGCTAGCCATTTATTTCATGATTTTGTAGTTACTAAGTTGCATAAAAATTGTTGAGTTACCTACTAACTAGAGATCAAGGAACCATTATTTCCTTCCTCCTGTTCTGTCTATAGAGGGTTAACTTATAGTCTATGGGTATTAGCTAATTCTAAGAAGAAATAGTTGAGTCAGTAGGCTGTTGGGTGGACCAACACTGAATGTTGGTGCATTTTATTGCTGCACATTGCCACCACATGCTTCTATGCTGGTGTGGCTTTCCTGGCTCATCCTGGAGGTGGGAAGTGGCCATATTACTGGAAAAACAACTGAACAAGTCTAGTGTTCCCTCTGGATTGCAGTACTCTTCAGAATTCCCTTCCAGCTGTAATATTTTCCACTGGGAGACATTTTCCACAGTTAGTAATCTTTCTGCGGAAACAATATAATGCTTTTATAGGCCACGACTTGTTCCTGTTCTTGAAATGCTTTGTTTGCCCACACACATAAATAAGCTGAGTAGAATTATCATTGTTTTTTATTTATTGGGAGCTCTTCACTTAACTGAAGACAGTTTGGTTTCACTAGTTAATATTACAGTTACAGACTTTTACCCCTTTGGGTACCATACTTAATACTATTTGCTTAACAGTCAGCCAAGAGGGATGGGTGGCAGCAGTTAATTTCCTGAACTGACCAGCATTAAAACTGTGATTTCTCAACGATATGTGTTTTTATGTGATAAAATGCTGAGTCTCAACTTCCTGGGGTTCTTTGTTCAATGTTTAGGAAGAAGTAGAAGCTGTTGTGTCTATGCTGATTGAGCAGGCCCGAGCCCTGGCTCGCACTGGGATGAAGAAACACCTCCGGGTTCTCCCCATGTACGCAGGGCTGCCTTCCTTTGAGCAAATGAAAGTGTTTGAAAGGGTGTCACGAAGCGTCAGAAAGGTGAGACTCCCCTGGTGGGTGACCAATGGTGTTTGTAGCCACTTCTAGTCATATTGGCAGGCTTTTACCATCAGTACCACAAAGTCTATATTATTGCTTTTTAAAAATTGAAGTGAAGCTTGCTAAACAAGAATGTGTCATTCAGGGTGGATGCAACATGGCCCTTCATGTTCTAGAATAAAGACCTGCAGGTCTCTGCCTCGAAAAAAAAAAAAGAATGTGTTGTTCAGATTTTAGGCCCATGTTTCTAGACCTCTTAGATCTAAAAGCACATAGGCCATAGAAAGGTCACTCTGACAGTGATGGTCAAAGTAGATGACTTCTCTTCTGTTGCCAAATTTTTCTCATGACCTAAGAGACGGTCATGGTGGATTGTGGATCGGTAAGGAATAATAGATAAATTTTTTACCAGTGTTTCTAAAGCACCTATGTTAAGTACCATTTTGCCTATAGAGCCAAGTTTAAATCAATTAATTCAAGGTGTGGCTACAAAATATTTAGCCTTGAAATTGGGTTGGGGAGGGATGTGATGGGAAAAGGCGTTAGTGGGAGCCAGCTGTGGGAAAAAGTATCTGTTGATTAAAAGGAGCCAGCTGGTCTGCCTCCTGTTCCTCCTCTCATTGTTTCCCTTTCAGTAGATGAGTGTATAGCAGGTGGCAGAGAATAAAGTAGGTGAGGGTGGGCCGAGGGTCTACTCTCAATTTTGGCCCTGGGCCAGTGGGCTGTAGCAACCTGAATCTGCCCAGTCAGACATGAACTGCAGTGAACCAACCAGTGCGCTGATGCCACCCTGGAGGTGCTGTGTGCCCCAAAATAAGTTCTTAACCTCAAGTCTCAGTTTATCATGGTTATAAAACATAAATAACACTTTTAGATAGATGATTCTATAGTATAAATCATAACTATTATGTAAAATGTTAGCAGGTTTTTATAAAACGAATTTATAAAAAGTGTCTGAAAAAAGTCCTGAGAGCTCCATATACATCCCCTACTCCTTCCAAGGCAGCTCCCAGTACCTCGCTGAAGCCCAGAGACTGTACTGCAGGCCCTGCTTCTGGCCTCAGGCCCTCCTGCCTTTGAAATAAAGCTTCAGCTTGGATTACTGGAGGGTTGCAACAGGTCTCAGCCTTATTTTTCAGAGAGGTTCTGTGGCCAGCCGATCTAACATCCCATTGTTATAATGTAGAATGTATTATATACCACATCATAGTAGATTGCTGGATTGTATTTGTAGTCCCTCTCTTCCTCCCTCTTTCCTTCCATTTGGTGAAGAAAAACTCACCTTTGTAGAGGTTTTTTTTTTTTTTTTTTCTGGTCCTAGGGTTTGAACTCAGGGATTGTGTGCTGTCCTGAGCCTCTTTGTGCTCAGGACTAGTGCTTTACCACTTGAGCCACAGTGTCACTTACAGCTTTTTTCTGAATGTTTTATTGGATATAAGAGTCTCATGGACTTTTCTGTCTGGGCTGGCTTTGAACCATGATCCTCAGATTTCAGCCTCCTGAGTAGGTAGGATTACAGGTGTGAGCAACTGGCACCTGACTTGTAAAGTTTTTCTGTTCTAAGTAAAATACGATTTTTTTTTAAAGGAGGGGGACTGGGAGACATTACTGTAAATAGAAGCGATCTGAGGCTATAGAGATTTGTAGCAGTTTGCAAATATTGAGAGGAAAATAAAGACTTTCAATGAATCAGGAAAGATTGAGTAACTCTGTTAGGATGTTATGTGGCAGATTTAAAAGGGAGTATACTGTTCCCATCCTCAGAGCAAGAGGGCACAGGACTAATCAGCGACTGAAGCCATTCCCATCAAGCCTAGAACTAACAGCCATTTTCTTGCTGCTCCCAGTGTCCCATGGACTTTTCTCCTGAACCACAGCAGGAGTTGGGGAGGGATCTGGGCAAGAACTATATACATTTAGATGTTTATCTTTATCTTTTGGGAAGGAAATAGTATGGTTAGGTAACACTGTGTGTTGTGAGTGGGAGAGGCAGACAGCTGGCTCAGGGGGAAACATTTGCCAGCCTCAGTTATTCTGAGACACCACTGGCCTGGCTTGAGAAATTAGATCCCTCAATGTGAGCTTCAGCATTTTCCTTCGAGGAGAAAAACAAAACGGAAAGATTCTTCCCAATCCAGATGCATGCTGAGCCAGTTTTCAAGGACTGTCACATAAAAGGGTCATAGTTTAAGGAGCTGGCTTTGAACAGGTATCCTCAGATCTCAGCCTCCTGAGTAGCTAGGATTATAGGTGTGCGCCACCGGTGCCTGGCATAACAGTGTATTTATATAAATTCACTGGGTTCTTTTCTTCCTGCTCTTCTTTTTGTGGTGTGCGTAGGTGATTGTTGCTACCAATGTGGCAGAAACCTCCATTACTATCAGTGGCATTGTGTATGTGATTGACTGTGGCTTTGTGAAACTGAGAGCCTACAACCCCCGGACAGCCATTGAATGCTTGGTGGTGGTGCCAGTGTCCCAGGCGTCAGCCAACCAGCGGGCAGGACGTGGTGGACGCAGCCGCTCTGGAAAGTGTTACCGCCTTTATACAGGTTAGTGCGGCTTTCCTAAAGGGCTTGTGACTTGTAGTTAGCCTGGGCATTGTTATTGAGAAATACTGAACATACTCATCCCTAATGGCAAAAGTTGATGTAAAATTCAGCTATTGTTCTCAGGGTCCTGTGCCTTTGGGCCTTCACCTTCCTCACTCTAAAAACAGACTTCTTTGCAAGTAGTGTGTTCCACTGAGTTGTCAGCTGCCTGCCAGCTCTGGTCTGGTCTAGTGTCGGGGCCTAGGTCCTTCTGTGGTCTTATAAACCTGTAGCATACATAGGCATACTTACTTTTCTCTTAGCTTAATGTGCTGTTTTTTTGTTTTTGTTTTTTGGGTCCGGTCGTGGGGCCTGAACTCTGGGCCTGGGCTCTGTCCCTCAGCTCTTCAGCTCAAGGCTAGCGCTCTACCACCTGAGCCACAGCGCCACTTCCGGCTTTTTTCTTTTTGCTTATGTGGTGCTGAGGAGTCGAACCCAGGGCCTCATGCATGCAAGGCAAGCGCTCTACCGCTGAGCCACCTTCCCAGCCCGTAATGTGCTGTTTTCTTATCCAGACAGTTTTTTAAAAAGCACATTGTTTCAATGTATTTATCAAAATATTTTAAAAATAATGGTCCTTCCTAAATATAAAAAGAACGCTGCATTACAATGCTGTATGCAGCTGGCCTAGAATCCTGGAGCCTCTTGCTGAAGGCAGAGAAGGACTGTTCTCTGGCTGTGATTGCATTTGACTATCACTTTGATTTCAGACAGTTCTGCTTTCTATCCCCAGAGGAAGCCTTTGACAAGTTGCCTCAGTCCACTGTCCCTGAGATGCAGCGCAGCAACTTGGCTCCTGTCATCCTACAGCTGAAAGCACTGGGGATTGACAATGTGCTCAGGTTCCACTTCATGTCGGTGAGTCCAGCCTTTGGTCTGGAGACATTTCAGGGTGATACGAGATATTGTGGCTGGACACACCAGCTTTCTTTTTCCATTGCTTGGCTCAGGTGTTGTTTGCTTAACACTCAGACAAGGCACAACTATGGCTACAGTTCCTGTTTTTACGTAGTTCCTGTTCTGCCCTGTTCTGTTCTGTTGGGGGACAGAGACAAGAGAATGGGCGATTACAGAGTAGTGTGCTCTGTATTCTGAGAGACAAAGGAGGAGACTCCAACCCTATTAATCATATCTGAGGCAAAACCTGGAATCCAAGTGGGATTTTACCAGCTTGGGAATACAACTCAGTATGACCAGTTTTATTTCTGTTGATTTTCTAAGGCAGGTTGGAGTGGAACTATGTTCCTCATAAAGTAAATTAAAAAAAAAGTTTATTGGACACTTGTTATTTCATTTGAAATTTTGAGCTATTTACCTGTTAGAATTTGGGTTTATTAGTGACTTTTTTTTTCTTTTTTGCCAGTCCTGGGGCTTGAACTCTGGGCCCGGATGCTGTCCCTGAGCTACTTTCACTCAAGGCTAGTGTTGTACCTCTTGAGCCACAGCACCACTTCTGGCTTTTTCTGTGATTACTTGGAGATAAGAGTCTCATGGACTTTCCTTCCCTGGCTGGCTTTGAACTGTGATCCTTAGATCTCAGCCTCCTCAGTAGCTAGGATTACAGGCGTCAGCCACCAGCACCCAGCTATTAGTGATTTTTAAAGAGTCCTTAACTACTATAGACATTAACGTTTTAATATTTCATATAAATGTTTTTCCTGTTATTTTGCTGCTTTTTTTGAGGTACACATGTCTTAAACATATGAAACCTTTCTGCCTTTGTCTTTATGATTTTTATAGTTCTCTTATACATATGAAGCACTAGTTTAGTTACCATGTTTTCATTCACACTTTCTAGAGTATAAGTGTGCTTGCTGGCTGTTTTAGCCTGGTTGTGTTGGTATATGGTGTGATGAGTTTGGGTTTTGGGGTAAGAAACTCCCTGCTGTTATGTCATGGTTAACTAGGTGAATAATACAATGCACAAATGCCAGCCCCTCAAATAAAGTAATTGTGTGTTTGCTGTAAGCATAGAGAAAGTGTCCCCTTTGACTATTGCTTGATACTAGATGATACTAGAAAAAAGAAAACAAACATAACATAGGCAAATTTAAATGCTAATGAGAAGTCCCACATCTAAGAGTAAAGGAAAACTTGGCAGAAATGACCTGTCAATATCTTAAAGAATACAAAGAGCTTTCATCATATATCATCTAGAGTAGCCCAGAAAGGCCATAAGGGGAGAAGCAGCACAAGCTATAGACTGGCATTAGGGTATATTCCTTCTCCAGGTTACAGAGAGGAGCAAACTAGCCTAGCCATAAGGTCTGATGTCACTCTAACTCAATGATCAAATACTAAGGAGTGGGCTGGGATGTTGCTGGGTGGTAGAGCACTACTACCTAATGTGTGCAAGGCCCTGGGTTTCATTCCCAGCACTGGAAGAAAACAAAGCATGAGGAAGAGTGGCAAAACCTGAAGCAGGTGCAGTGGGAAGCCCTTCCCCCCTGCCCAGTGCCCCTTTGCTGCTGGCCGTCCTCATGAAGGGTGTCTTCATGATGATGGTGTTTTTTTTTTTTTTTTAACCATTGGAACTTTCTCCTGAAGAAATAATTCAAAAGAAGAAAAAAGTGTAGATGATCATGTTTATAGCACTGTTTTATATAACATTAAAAAATAGAAAAAAAATGATGAAAATACTAACAAAACTTCTGGACAATTAAAAAATGAAAAAAATACAAATGTATCCTTATATATTCTGGCTATTTCTTCATGAGTTATTATTTTTTGTAGTTAAATCAAAGACATGTATAATTTTTATATTTAAGACTGCCACTTAAAGAAATGAAAACCTAGGGGCAGCTCACTTGCCCCATAGTAAGGAAATTGACTTTCCTATAGAGTAGGAAGGTGAAGGAGCACTGTATCGCTCTCCCAAGTAATTATTAGGGGGGTTTTTGTGGGTGCAAGCAACAGGGAAAACAGGCATACATACAGAGAGAAAAACAAAGTACACACACACTGTATTCCAAATATGTGAATGCTTACTTATGATCCTCAGTAAGATGTGGTCTTAGTGAATGCTTCATGGTAAATATCTGTTTAAATGAAAATAACAAGGATATGGTTTTTGTGGGGGTTGAAAGGAATACGTTTTTTTCCCCCCTATAGTTTGTTTCTATGTGCTTTGTTTGAATATTTTGATTTCAAGTACTTGTACAAAGGAGTTGCCATTCAGCAGAGCAGTTTAGTTTTTTATGATATTTGACTGGAGATAAGGTCAAGATTGCAAGAAGTCAAAGAGGACCTTGTTAACTTTGTTTTGTCATTGTTAATGCTGGAATTGGAGCGTTGCATCCTGTTGTGTCCTGTGACCTCAGTGTAGCAGAAGGTCCTGTGAGGGTTTGAAGGCCTGCATTTTTGTGTTGGGGCTTGTAGCTCTGTGCGGGAGAGGCTGGTGGGCTGATGGCAGGGTTGCTCAGCAGTGATGTATTCAGAACTGGCGGGCAGTGAGCTATTCAGGGTTGTTTCTACCCTCCTGAGTTTGCAGTGCACCTGCGTAGGCAGTCATTACAACTTTGGAAAGTTTGGCTTTGTTCTTGGGCAAACAAAGTAGGTTTGGTAGAGTGGAAATAATGAGGCCTGAGCTTAGTTTTAGACTGTGCCACTGACTGTTCAAATGTCTCTTACTGATTGTACTTTACTGTCTATAAAGTTGAGCTTACATTTATCACATGAATGCATTTCGAAGAAAAGTTAAGCAGGTCAAGAGAGTACTATTCTTACCTGACTTAGTAGAAATCAAGTAATTTAGGAGAATGCCCTTACTCAGTGCTTAGTAAGGATTTGTAGAGGGAAGGTCACAATATAAACTTGGCTTAACTGGAGAGTATCTAGCATCCTCTGTTACTTTCAGAAATTCAAAGAAAATATTGTGTGTGTGTGTGTGTGTGTGTGTGTGTGTGTGTGTGTGTGTGTGTGTGTGTGTTAGTCCTAGGACTTGAATTCAGGGAGAGTATCTAGCATCCTCTGTTACTTTCAGAAATTCAAAGAAAATATTGGTGTGTGTGTGTGTGTGTGTGTGTGTGTGTGTGTGTGTGTGTGTGTGTGTGTGTGTGTGTGTGTGTGTGTGTGTGTGTGTGTGTGTGTGTTAGTCCTAGGACTTGAATTCAGGGCCTGGGCAGAACTGAAAAAAAAAAAAAAACCAGCCTTTTTGCTCAAAACTAGCCCTCTACCACTTGAGCTACTGCTCCACTTCCAGCTTTTTTGGTAGTTAATTGGATATAAGAGTCTCATAAGCTTTACTGTCTGGGCTGGCTTTGAGCCTTGATCCTTAGATCTCAGCCTTCTGAGTAGCCAGGATTACAGGTGAGACCAACACCCATGCCAAATAATCCACCGTAGGCAAAGCTTGGAGCTGGACTTTGGGTGGTAGAGGTAAATGGCTGCTGTAGTATTGGGGGCTGCCAGGGTTAAGACTGTAAAGTCAAGGTAGACGTGTCTAGGGAGAGCTTAGGAAAATGAAGAGGAGAAGAGATGGGAGCATCCTCCTGATGAGTGGAGGATGAGGGAGGGCCATATGGGGAGCAGCTAATATAGCTGGGTTTTTGAGGCCAAACAGTACCAAGGTTGCTGAGAAGGCAGGAAGCGTATGTCAAAGGCGTCCCCAGCAGTAACAGCATGGGGGCTGGAAGCACTGGTGCATGCTAGAGGGAGAGGGGATTTGAGCCAGAAGTGGTCAGTTTTTTGTTCCTTGCACAGAGAAATTAATTTAGGATGATTTTTATGTGTTTTACAGCCCCCTCCAGCACAGTCGATGGTTCAAGCTTTGGAGTTACTCTATGCTCTGGGAGGTAGGCCTGCTTCCCTTATTATATGTTCTCCTATGAGATAAGAGCTAGGTGGATTCACAGTAGGGTTCTTAGTGTCTTTGGGAATGGGGTTGTTTCTTCTCCTATGGCTATAATTTACTCTATTGAAATAGAATTTGAGACCATAATTAGAGTAAAAGCTACTTATAACAATTTATAAAGCATACCAGTATGTGAGTACTTGGGTGGTATTTGCAGAATGTAAGTTTCAGGTTTTTATGTAGCAGTAGTGCTTTGTATTACTTGTGCTTTTAGTGTCACATCTGAGATAACATTGCCTTAGAGCCTAAAGTAGTAGCTCAGTGGTAAGCAGAGTGTTTAGTTTATATGAGAGCCTGGGTTCACACCCACCACCCAAACACAAACCAGCCAAACCCCAAAACAACATTGTAAGGACTGGGGGTGTAGATCAAGTAGTAGAGCACTTGCCTGCTAAGCGTGAGCTGTAGGTTCAATCCCCAGTACACAAACACCAACACCTCCCCACCCCTACACACGCACACACACACACAACCTTACCCCCATTCAATTTTACTCCATTGATTTTCTTCAAAGAATTTTATAGTTTTCCTTTACATTTAGGCCTGTGGTCCATTTTAGGTAATTTTTTGCTTGTGAAACTGTTTTCCTTCATTATGTTTATGATGTTTCTCTGGAATATATAGTCAGTTGTAGGTTTAAAAGTTCTCTACTGATTTACAAGGTCTTCAGTTTTGTCTGCATATGACCAGCCCAAAATGTGTTGGAGTAAGTTTTTGGATTATCTGTATTGAGATATAAGAAATGTTGACTGTGTAGGATTTTTCACTTGGTTGCTCTTCCTCCAGTCACACAGCAAAAGTTAAAATAGTCCAGTGTGGGAACATACCTAATCCTAATTTCAGGCCAGCCTAAGACCCTATTTCACCCCCTATTTTTCCCCCCCTTCTCCAAAGTTATACTATTCTTTACTGCCTAAATGAGCTGGAAAATGTGGAGAGAAACCCCAGAAGCCTTTTCTGTCTCACTCTGAGCACTTGTAGTGTTTGTTTTACTCAGTAACACAATTGTCTATCTCCTGGGAGTCTTGGGAATGTAATGCCTGTATTGGTAAATGCTAGATGCCAATCAGGAAGATGGGGAATTGGAGGAGTCGGCTCAGTTCAGTAAACTGCTTAGGGGCCAGTCTGATAAACAGGTCTAATGTTGGCACCAGGTCTGGGATTTGGCCAGGGCTGGGGTTTAGAACTCTGAGAGTTGCTGGCCAGATGATGGCACATGTTCTATGTGAAGAATATGGTGTGAGGTAGGCTGCCATCCTTCCAGATCTGACCTGTTGGGTCCTGGGGGTGGGAGAAGATGTGGAAGGTGACTGACCGGTAGCCATAAGGAGGTGGTGGAGAACCTGGAGAGCTGTGGTCTCAGGAGCTGGGGGAGAGTAACTGCCAAAACAGAGGGAGCAGAGCCCAGCACTGCTGAGACAGTAGGAAGGTGGTTGTGGTGTCTTCAAGCTGTTGGGCCTAGAGCAGTGTCTGAAACACAGGAGAGAGGGCTGGCTGTGGGCCAGGGAGAGAGTGGGGGCAGAAGTTACAGGGCTATTGTCTTACAATAATGTCCTTGAGGAGAAGTCACTAGACACAGCAAGGCTTTTTTGTTTTTGTTCGTTTTAGCTGGGCTTTTGGGAACTCAGTGGAAATGTCTGTTACTGTGATGGCTCTCTGGGGTCAAACCCAATTTGGTGATGCCTGAATCATCTTTTGGACACTTTTTTTTTTAAACATTCATCTTGTATTCTCTTACCATTTGTACATCTTCAACAGAATGGTACATGCCTTCTGATTTCTTCTGTTCTTTTGCAGGTCTGGACAAAGACTGTCGCCTCACTGAACCACTTGGCATGAGAATAGCAGAGTTTCCTTTGAATCCCATGTTTGCCAAAATGCTGCTTGAATCAGGTGGGTAGGGCCTGACAGCTCATGTTGATTTTATTTTGGTATCAGAGGAGTTGTTTTCTTGAATTCTGTGAACCCTGGGAGAAGAGAGCCTAATCATGGTTAAACAACAACAAATGATTTACTTTTGACCAATAGTAGTTGTATATGTTTATGGAATACGATGCAGTGTTTCGATCTACGTGTACAGTGTAGAAAGATTCAGTTGGTGAGCATATCTGTCACCTGACCAACTTATTTTCTCTAGAGACAATGTTAAAAATCTATTGTTTTAACATTACTCTTAACTGTGACTACCATGCGGTGCAGTTGATCACCGAAACTTAACTCCTAATCTGAAACTTGGTATTCTTAGAGCAGCTTCTCACCTTTCCTCATCTCTCCTCCTTTTCCACCTTCTTTCCTTGCAGCCCGTGGTAATCGTCTTTCTACTCTATTTCTGTGAGATAGACTTGGTAGATTCCACATGTAATTGAACCAGCTTGGTGAAAGTTAGCTGTAGTAATTTGGAACAACTAGATGGTCTTAGCCTTCCACAAGAAACAGATCCTGAGTGTGGGGCTGGGAGAATCCACACACAGGCAGGAAACTGGGAAGGCAGCAGGAGAGCAGTTTGCTCTGTCTAGTGCCCTGCAGGGTTGGTTGCTGCAGACTCTTTCCCATGACTCAGCAGCGGCAGCAGCCACATAATACCATCCTGCCTTTGCTAGGCTTTGGGCTTCCCAGACAAAGGAGCACTTGTGAGAGGCAGGACACTTGTGGCACCTCGCGGAAGGGACATGGCAAAGAAACAGGAGAAGGCACACCCCACACTCCCCGTTCCTAGGCTTGTGTCAGGATTGCAGATAGCCACATGGGAGAGGAGGGAGTAGGTAGGTGTGCAGCTGGCCTGCCCTTGGTGATGGAGCCCTCAGTGTTAGTGCTGAAATGCAGAAGAGCAGCTCCTTTTGCCAAAGTTCTTCATACTTCCATGTATATAGGATATTCTAGCTGGTTGAATGAAGCACTTGACAAAGAAACTCTGGAAGCACTATCTTTACATTTGCATGTGGTACAAAGAAAATATTAGAAAATGTCCTTCATTTCTTGTAGCTACATTGCTGACATTTTTTTTTTTTAAAGTGCTGGATTAGAGTTAGGGCCTTGCACATGTACTGAACCTCAGAGCCAAACACAGCCCAGCTTGTTGATTCTTGCGTAATTGTAAACATACTTTTTATTTTCTAGGAAATTTTGGCTGTTCTCAGGAAATTCTAAGCATTGCAGCCATGATGCAGATCCAGAATATCTTTGTGATCCCTTCAAACCAGAAATCTCAGGCAGTAAGTGCAGTCTCCTTCCCAAGCTGCTCATAGTATTACTTCATTTTGAGCATCTCTTGTTAAAACTTACCAGAATCTACTGAAGACAAAGCTAGGCAAGTGCTATTGGTTCACATTTTAAGTGTTTCCTGTGTGTATGACATTGTGCAAAGTGCTTTACCTGTACAATTTCATTTTATCTTCAAAATAAACCTTGGATATAAGTGCTGTTACCATATGTGTGTGTGTGTGTGTGTGTGTGTGTGTGTGTGTTATATGTTATATGTTACCATATATATCAGGGTCTAGATGCTGTCCCTAAATCTCTTTGTGCTCAAGGCTAGTGCTCTATCACTTGTGGTTTTTGATTGGTTAATTGGAGATAAGAATCCCATAGGGACTTTTCTGCCTGGGCTAGTTTTGATCTGTGATCCTCAGATCTCAGCCTCCTGAGTAGTTACGATTATAGTGCCTGGTGCTGTTAACATATTTTAAAGATTGGCACTGAACCATTAGGAAACTCCTTTGTGGTTGCACAACTGGAATTGGAGGAGCAGGCTTTCATAATCTAGACTTTAACCCTTGCATTGCTGGCTTCCAGGTGCCCTTTTAGAGAATTGCCACTCAGGCTGCTCTGCAGAAACATTGGGGTGGGGGGGGGTATGTTAGCGGTGTTTCAGATGAAGCATTCAGAGCTAGAACTGAGATGGCCAGACTGCCTAAGACCTGCTTAAATAGGTCGAGTTGGAAAAAAAAGTTTGAGTATTGCTGAGTACCAAGAGGGAGGAGATAGAAGGATGGAGGTGGATCCTGGGGGAGTGGATTGCGCAGGGGAGGGAGCCCATTCTCAAGGGTTGTCACCTCCTAGAGAGTCCTGTCTACAGATTACAGGGTTTCTTGCCTCCACAGCCCAGTAGTTCCATCTATTTCCTCAGGATTCTTATTTATTTAACTCCTTATTGATCTTCTTAACAGCCCTACCTCAGGGCACACAAACTAAGTTGCAAAGGGAGAAAATGGAAGTTCTTATCTCTTTGTCTAAAATTCCAGTAAATGCCCTTTCCCAGCCATTCCCTGATTTCTTTTTCTCCTCTTGACACTTCTTGTAGTTTATTTCCTTCTTGTAGTTCCTTCACTAACTTTTATTCATTATTGTAACTCAAATGCTCACAACAGTGCTTGTTCTAAGGTTAGTGCTTGGCAAAAATCTGCGGAGAGAGAAAAAAGAAGGGAAGGGTATGTGACACTTAACTTCAGGAGAAGAGTTCTGAAGTTAATGAAAACATTTGCCTTCTTGATGTATCTGTACCTCAATCCCATGGGAACAAATCATCATTCAGGATCTTACAGAAAGAATTCGGTGATGGAGTGTGAAAGGACTGCAGCTAGCTTGTGGTGGCCTGGGGGGTGTGGCATTGTCAACCCTTTCCCCCCCAGGAGCCTACACCATGTAGGGATGGGAATGCTGCTGAGAGAAACCATTCCGACTGGATCGGGGAAGACTGAGACAGGGACACAGGCATCCAGTTCTGGTGCCTGGGACTTTATAGTTCATTATTTTCATCCACAGCCATCTTGGCAAAGAAGTTTAATTTCCAGATTTTAGAGATAAGGACATTGAGGCCAAGCAGGGTTAAGTAACCAAGCCAAGGGCTTTTAGGAATATGGCAGGGCTGGCGGCAGTGTGAGCCAGGCTCCCTTCTGAATCCACAGCCATATGCTGTTGATCTTGCAGTGCCTCTCCCAGTCCTAGTACAAGGGGTTTGTGGAGATCAACTTGTAAATGAAGCTTTATTTGTTCCAGATTCGAGTGCACAGGAGATTTGCTGTGGAAGAAGGTGACCACCTCACCATGCTCAATGTGTATGAAGCATTTATCAAAGTAAGCATAGCTGTGGTTCACACACCCAAAACCCAACCTGCAGTGACCTAGGAATTCACAAAGAACTAGAGGAGACCCTCTATTTCATATAGGGATTCTTGCCATGTAGTGTTCCTGGAAGGAAAACAGGATTCGTTCATTGTTCTTCCTTGGTTGGAGACATGGCACCCTAGTGGTGTGCTGGCTGCTTAGTGCCTACAACCAGTGTCCTTCCAGTCTGTACATCTACTGTGTAGTGGACAGAAAGGCAGCATTTGAAAACACGTCCTGCCACATGGCAGTGTTGAGAACAACTTCAAGTCTTGGATTGAACCTTCAAAGTTGTCCCAGCTACCAAGAGAAGATGTGTAGGCAAATGTCTGTCATCACATACCTGGACCATATTTGCTACAGTCCGTGTTAACGTTCATCCTTCATGTTCAGTAAAGCCAAGAACAAGTAAGAGAGCTTAAAGGTTTCACCAAATATCTTCAAAAGACTGAAGCTGATGAAAATGGTGAAAACAGAAACATCATATAAAGAAAAGGGAATGATGTTTTGTATTTTCACTATTTGTGGGGCTTGAACTCGGCCTGGGCACTGTCCCTGAGCTCGTTTGCTCAAGGCTAGTGCTCTACTACTTTGAGCCATAGTTCCACTTCCAGTTTCCTGGTGGTTAATTGGAGAGAAGAATGCCACAGACTTTCCTGTCTGGGCTGGCTTTGAATCACAATCCTCAGATCTCAGCCTCCAGACTAGTTATGTTTACAGGTGTGAGCCACCAGCACCCAGTCTCTTGTATATGAAGACAGGATTTATTCTGTAGTAAGGTCAGTGCTGGGATTACAGGCATACACTATCTGTATTTATTTCCCTTTTATGCAGTGCTGGGGATGGAATTAGGCCTCATACTTGCTAGGCAGGTTATCTACTACTTTGGCCATGCCTCCAGCGTTTTCTTTTTATCTTGGTTATTTTCAAAGTAGAGTTGTTTATGACAGGGCTAGTCTGGGCTATCTGTGCTTCCCACATTGCTGGGTATGATAGACATGTATCACTGTTTTGTGCCTGGGTTGTCCTTGAACTGTGGTCTTCCGATCTCTGCCTCCAAGTAGCTTGGATCACAGACTTGAACCATTATGTTTGACTTGTATTCATTTCTTTATTTTTATTTTTACTTTTTGTTGGTCGTGGGGCTTGACCTCAGGACCTGGCTGCTGTCCCTCAGCTCTTCAGCTCAAGGCTAGCGCTCTACCACTTGAGCCATAGGGCCACTTCCAGCTTGTTCTGCTTATGTGGTGCTGAGGAATCGAATCCAGGGTCTCATGCATGTGAGGCAAGCGCTCTACCACTGAGCCACCTTCCCAGCCTCTATTTACTTCTTAAGATGCTTCTTTTACCAGAGATATGAGAAAGATTTTTCCAGTTAGTGAGTGGCTTTTGGAATAATAAACCCCTGTCTCTTTACTAAGACTTATGGATACAGTTAAAATTCTTTTGCTCAGAGCTGGGAAGGTGGTGCAGTGGTAGAGCGCTTGCCTTGCAATGCATGAGGCCCTGGGTTCGATTCCTCAGCACCACATAAGCAAAAAAAAGAAAAAAAAATTCTTTTGCTCATTTCCTTTTTTTGTTGTTTGTTTGTTTTTGTTTTTTTGTCAGTCGTAGGGCTTGAACTCTGGGCCTAGGCACTGTCCCTGAGCTCTTCAGCTCAAGGCTAGCACTCTACCACTTGCACCACAGTGCCACTTCCAGTTTTTCCTGTGTATGTGGTACTGAGGAATTGAACCCAGGACTTTATGTATGCTAGGCAAGCACTCTACCACTAAACCACGTTCCCAGCTCTTCACCATGTTTTCGCTAGCTGCAGATTGCATTATTATTGGAAAATCCTATATAAATTACATTTTCTTATTTTTTTTAAACTTTCCTGCCTGGCTTGAGCAGTAATATAATCAAAGACATGGTCATACTTCAGAATGCAGAAGAAAATTAAGGATTACTGGCAGAAAAGCCATACTTAGGGGACAAATAGGAAACGTTTGGAGATAGTTCCAGCATGTGACAAGAGTCTTAAAGTGTAGACCGAAGCCTACCAAATAATAGAGACTAGCTGAGAGTGAGTTTCTGGCAGGTGGCTCTTGCTCATTGGGCTTAGATTGACAGCAGCTTCTGTGTCCTCCTCATTCACTCCTCAGTGCAGAGAGCAAGTGTGATTGTAAATGTAGAGAGATGGGACAAAAAACATAACAAAACCAAAGAACCAGATATGACCTGAAGTTGTCTCCAGATGATAATGTCTCCCCATATTGGGTCTCAGCTTTCCTAATGCTCTGCCTGTCCTGCCCCATTGTTCTGCAGCACAATAAAAACTCCCAGTGGTGCCAGGAGCATTTCCTGAATTACAAGGGGCTTGTCAGAGCCGCAACTGTGCGAGAACAGTTGAAAAAGCTGCTTGTGAAGTTTCAGGTGCCCAAGAAGTCCAGCGAAGGTGAGTGGGTGTGAAGTGGCCCTGCGGTGACTTCCCTTTCTTTGCTTAGCTGTGGGTTGATAGCTGGTGGCATGGCGCACTGTCCCTACATCAGGCTTCGCAGCTTGAACTACTCAATCAATGAAAACCTGAAGGTAAAGTCTGTGTTTCTCCCAAGGAGATCCATCCATTTTTTATTTCTGAGGCTTCTTACCAAAAGAGTTTTAAAGCTATGATGGCATATAAGAGTCTTAACACTGACAACGGTGTGTCTACGGGTACGGATTTGTGTTTAAGGCAGAGAGAGCAAGTTCATGTGGAAGTGAAAGGAAAGCCCTGAAAGTAGGGAGACTCTCCAGAGTGAGCGCCAAAGAGGAGTCCAGTGGAGTCCTCTCGGAGGGTGGTTATTTTAGTATGGGGCTCCTCCCATATCTCCTCCCCTGGGCTTTGCACTGATTTCTCAATGGCTTATACATATGCTGTCCTGGCTCTTTTCATTGGTTAAGTGGGAACCCAGGGCATTATGGGAAGATGTATTTGAATGGGAACCCAAGGTATCATGGGAATAAGAAGCATCATGACAGGCCAAATATTATCTGCCACATTTATGACCACTATGTTTTATTTCTACCTTCACACATCATACAATTAATATAATGATGGTCATTGCAAGAAAATTAATTTAATTGAATAAAGTTCACGGCTATTACATACACATCGTATTTTCTTTTCAGATGCAAGTGTTACTAAAGCAAAACCATGTGTTTAGTGTAGGTGGTCACCTGGGGTAAGGCAGGTAGTGCCGTGTCATGTGGTCTCTGGCCTGTAGCACTGGTCACGGTGGCTGTGGAAGACATAGTAGGGTGGACTAGTGTTGGGCTCTGCAGACTTCTCTCATTTCTTCTCCCTCTGTGAGGCATAGGGGTTGTGCCCTGAGTGGGTGGAGTTATGGGAAAGGCATCATTCAGGACAACACAGCTGATAGTCAGCAGAGCCCAGTTGTTGCTGCTCATCAGCCTACATTTTGGAGGTGACATATCTGTGCATCTGTTTAGCAGCAGTTCCTTTTTTGTTTGTGTATGTACTGGGGACTTAAACTCAAGCACTCATGTTCTCAGTTTTTTTGTTCATGGCTGGTGTACTACCACTTGAGCCACACCTCCCGTTCCAAGTCCTCCTGATAGTCTTAATTATGTCTTAGACGCTCAGCCACATTCTCAACCCTACAAGTTTTCTGCTATCATTTTTTGAGTGCTTCTAGCAGGCCAGTTAGTGTTCTGTGTTAATGTTATTTTATTTGTTTGGTGTGGGGGTTTGAACTCCAGAGGCTTGTGTTGTTAGACAGGTGCTGTTCTATGTGAGCCATACTCTTCCAGTCCTAATGCTCACAGCAGCTCTGAACTGTGTGCTGCTGTGGCTGCATTTTGTAGATGAGAATCGTGAGGCTCACTTGCTGAAGTATACACACAGTGAGTGTAATGTGCAGGCAGTTTTATTTCAGGGCCTTATTTTGTCCAAGAGCAAGAACCAGGTCTTTTGTCATTTCTCAGTCACCTGCTCTTAGCATAAAGGCAAATATGGGCTGCCTCGGATTGTGCTGGAGGACATTTATTTGGCAAGGAGAGACACGAGGCTGGGCTGGTTCAGGCGATGAGCAGCCTGGAGGCATGAGGGAGGGCAGTCAGGCCTGGATGCTGTGCATTCCAGCACAGGCCTGAGCATGCTGAGTGTAGGGCCGGAGAGCATGTCATCATCACTGTTGCTGCCTTGGGCAGGTGATCCAGATCCCGTCCTGAGATGCATCGTCGCGGGATTCTTTGCGAATGCAGCCAGGTTTCATTCTACTGGAGCTTACAGGTAACATGATACTTCCTGACGTCATTTGTAAAGGGGAGTCTTTAAAGTGACAAAAACAGAAATCGTTGTGCAAACAAAAGAAATCAGATTATTTTGAATTATACCATGCCTCCTTCCAGAACCGATTAGAAGATAGCTTTACGCAGATTATTTTAACTCTTCAAGGGGCTCTAAATACTCAGTGTGTCCACATGTTGCATAAGGTGACAGTTCTAACCATGGAATTGTAGGACTGCAGGAAGCCATTAATCTGCTTTCTCAGGGAAATTATTTTACCATTGAGTAGTTTTGTCTTTAGAGCCCTTTAGGCCCTAGACACTGGTACATTGTGCTCAGGATGTCTTGGAGCTGGGCAAGTATCTTTTCCTGCAGCCTTAGTTCTTCTAGTCCTTTTTCCAGGTACAGGAAACTGCCTGTCGCCAATGCTTATGATAGCCTTTACCATATTCAAATGCAGTGAAAGCCAAAGTGTACTTAGACTGTCTTCTCCACGCTAAATCTCCCTAGTTTGTTGGAATTGCTACTTGACGTCTGCCCCTCCTGACCATTGGCTTAATGTGGTCTCGTAACTTACTGTTACCTATGAAGTTTAGCCATCATTTTATCATTGGATTTTTTTCTCCTACTTTCTCTGCTATTGTGGATAGAACTCATAACCTTGCACATGTTAGGCAAATATTCTACCACTGAGCCACATAAGAGTAGACAGGCTTGGGGGCTGGGAAGGTGGCTCAGTGGTAGAGCGCTTGCCTTGCATGCCTGAGGCCCTGGGTTCGATTCCTCAGCACCACATAAGCAAAAAGAAAAAAAGCCGGAAGTGGTGCTGTGGCTCAAGTGGTAGAGCGCTAGCCTTGAGCTGAAGAGCTGAGGGACAGCGTCCAGGCCCAGAGTTCAAGCCCCATGACCGGACCTAAAAAAAAAAAAAAAGAGTAGACAGGCCTGTTGCCAAGGCTATGAACTTGGAATTTTTCTGCTTTGGCTACCTACTAAATAGCTGGCATTAAAGGCATACATCACCATACCTGGCTATTTCCTTATCCCTAATAAAAGGCTTTTTTTTTCTGAGTTCTTTTTTGGATTTCCTCTCATTTTTTGCCGTTAGTTTTTTCTTTGGAAGAGTGTACTTTTTTTTTTCCCCTCAGAAAATATTAGAATCTGTTTTCTGACAAGTTCCCTTTCCCAGGACACTAAACTTCTGTTAAAGGGTCCAGAATTCAGTGAATGTTTTTAATTTTGGCAGCCAGATCTGCTCAATCTAGTATGCTGGAAGCTGTGTGAACATTAAGTTGAGGCATGTACCTTGTCTTTAGTGAACTCTCATTAGTCCAGGTCAGCGGTCTAGCTCCTTAGGGCTGCTGCCTGTCCTGGGGGGGGGGGCCCTCTTCCATCTTGATCTCTGTGTGGAGGCACCCCTTCTTTTTGGGAGGGGAGACCCCTTTTGGAGAGGCCTGAGCTCCCCCAGTCAGTGCCAACTTGGGCATTTTGATTGTCTTTCTCATTTTAAGGGTGTCACTTAGCCATGGTGATGGGCTTTTTACAAATTTCATCAGTGTCCTCAACAGAAATAGGGGTTACGTGAAAGGCTCTGGCCAGTCATTCTTTTGGAGATGAAGGGTCATCTGGCTTTGTGATGGGGCCAGCAGGACACCTGGCAGACAGACCCAGTGCCCACAGAAACACACACATTATTCATGCCTTGTGATCTGCTCTTGCTGGTAGTTATGTGCGCAGTTAATAGTTTGAATTAAATTGAATCAAATCTGAGACAGAATTGGAAGTAATACATGTTTCAGAGAATCTAATAATCCCACACTGAGTTCACTTTTTCCACCATTTCAACTTCCTCTGTGGTCTTTAACCTTAATATTTAACTGGCTGTACTAGGAAGGCTTATAGAGACTCACATTGTTCTTTCTGTCTTGAAGGGAATTGTTGGGAAAGAACCTGCAGATTATAAACACACACACACACAGAGGCAGATCACTGTATTCTTATTTTTCTGCACATCCACACGTTGCTCTTCTCTTTTCTGCATGATTTATTCTTCACTTTAAAGGTGGGGATGGCTGCAGGTGGCATTTACCCTTGGTGCATATTTTGATAATGTTAAAAACTGGGAAAGCTGGGTGCCAGTGGCTCACAATTGTAATCCTAACTACTGAGATCTGAGGATTGTGGTTTGAGGCCAGCCCAGGCAGGAAAGTCTGTGAAACTCTTATCTCCCAATTAACCACCAGTAAACTGAAAATGGAGCTGTGACTCAAAGTGGTAGAGTGGTAACCTTGAGCGAAATAGCTCAGGGACAACACTCAGGCCCTGAGTTCAAGCCCCATGCCCAACAAACAAAACAAAACTGTGGTCTTGTGAAGTGCCTTAGACAAATTGTGTCTTCCAAGGACTATCCGCGATGACCATGAGCTGCATATCCACCCCGCGTCCGTCCTCTATGCGGAGAAGCCGCCACGCTGGTAAGTCCCTCTGCTGCCAGGTGAGGCCAGCCTGCCTGCCTGCCTTGAAGCAGGTCACCACAGGGTTCCCAGAGCAGGGTCCAGGGCCTGGAGTACAGGTGCTCCTCAGGGTTGGTGGACTTGTTGATTCTGCTGAGCCGCCCTCAGGGTCTCTGATCTTACAAAGCTCCTTTAAGCAAACAGTGGTGTGCGATGAGCTCTGCACCCAGCACAGCCAGCATAGGTGATGTCAAGAAGGTCCAGTTGCAGTCCAGCTGGAGATGGCTTTGCCAGAGGAGTGTTGGAAATGCTGTGGATGGCTCCTCTATGGAGGACAGACAGAAAGGACTTTAAAGGGCTTTTAGCCTGAGGAGTCGATGGGGAACGCATGTCAGTAGGAGCAAAGCCCGTGTCTGGGGGTTGGACATCGCTGTTACAGCTGGCAAGCCGACCCTGTGCCAGTCTGAAGCACTGGCTGGCAAGGAAGGGAGAAGTGCAGAGGTGGGGGGAGGCAATGTTTCTTTAAAAGTAATTTGTTGTACTGTATTTTACAGAAATATTGATTGGCAATGTGTCAGGACAGTGCCGGTGGTTCTTTACCACTGACAGACCTGGGAAATAGGCAGGGGCATGCGTGCATAGATAGAGGGTAGAAAGACCTATTGCAGGATGGCTGGTGTATTTTTGGGTTTTATGGTTTGAAGACCACTCCGGAAGCTCAATATCTCCTAATGTCCCCTGGCTCCTTAGTTGTATGTTTACCTGAGTTTTAGGTGAGGCTTTTTCCTTTGACAGGTCTGTATACCCTTGTAACTTGAACTCCAAATAAGATACAAAGTATTTTCATCACTTTGCAAAGTTCCTTTGTGTCTCTTTAGAACCATTTCCCAGTCCTTTGCCTGTGTTAATGTGTTTCCTAATTGAGTCCTTAAGTTCTTTTCAGAGCTCCATAAATGTGGACTAAAGCTTCTTTGTGGGTGATTGTGGTGCCTTAGGAGTCCTGTGGGGTGTACAGCTCATTTGTAAAGCACACTGTGACACTGTGTGATGCCCCCTCCCCCCACTCCCCCTCCCCCCCAACCAAGAGGCTCAGAGAGCAGCCTGAACACCTGTGCTTGCTACAGGGCCTGTGCGGAGCACACACCAATAAATGCAGGAGGGCCCTACAGTCATGCCTCTTGTTTGATTCAGGGTTATCTACAATGAAGTCGTGCAGACCTCCAAGTATTACATGAGAGATGTGACCGCCATAGAATCTGCCTGGCTGCTGGAGTTGGCTCCACACTTCTACCAACAAGGAACGGTAGGGTAAACCATCTACCCAGCTGCTTCATTTCTTCCTTCCTTCCTTCCTTTCTTCCTTTCTCTTTCTTTCTTTCTTTTCTTTCTTTCTTTCTTTCTTTCTTTCTTTCTTTCTTTCTTTCTTTCTTTCTTTCTTTCTTTCTTTCTTTCTTTCTTTCTTTCTTTCTTTCTTTCTTTCTGTTCTGGAGCTTGAACTCAGGGCCTAGGCACTGTCCTGGAGCTTCTTTTATTCAAGGCTAGCACTCTACCACCACTTCCAGCTTTTTCTGTTTATGTGGTACTGAGGAATCGAACCCAGGGCTTCATGCATGCTAGGCAAGCATTCTACCACTGAGCCACATTCCTAGCCCCAGAATTGAAGTTTCTTTAAGTCAAACCCACGAAGCTAAAGGGCAAATGGCTTCCGAAGTTTGAAGAATATGATAAGTCCAAATTTTCACACTTGTCTTTTCTCTCCAAATTCCTGGCATTTACCACAGTAAGAACATTTTCAGAGAGGCTGAGACCTTAGGAAACACCTGGTATGACAGACTCATTATACAGGTGGGTGGCCAAGCCCTGCTGTTAGAAGAGTTGGTCCTCTTTAAAAAAAATCAATTTTATTGTAACAGTGATGTACAGAGGGTTACAGTTACATAAGTAAGTAAAGAGTACAATTCTTTTCAAACAGGGTTATCCCCCGCCCTTGTTTTCTCCCACTTCCTCCCCCAGGCCCCCCAGAGTAAAGTTCGTTTCCAGCATGGTATCTCGTGAATATTGCTGTTGTGTTGATTGACCCATTACCCCACCATTTCTGTGATTCCCCTTCCCTTCCCCAAATTAGACAAACTTATATACAAGACAAAAGGTCCCGCAATCAGAAGCAGTCCAAAGGTACTTCTGTTCACATGTCCAAAGATTGAGTTCCCTGGGTACCAGCATGGCCCCAGGGCGGCCGTGCATGGTGCAGCTCACCCCAGCTCACCCCATGCCCAGCCCACAGGTCATCCACACTGTCCCTGGCATCGCCTGTGACTTTCCATCACTCAGCTTTCAGTGTTGCTCTCACCCTGTAAAGAAGCCCAAAATGGTTCAGAGTCTACTTTGTTTATACTCAACATTCCTTCCAGAAAAGAGCACCAAAAAAGGCAGCACAGGCACGCTGGCAGCCTCTCCATCCACAGGTCACGGCTCTGGATGTCCAGCCGTAGTGGTGGGGGTCACATCAGGTGAAGGGCAGAGCACAGAGTGCAATCAGACCCACAGCTCAATAGGAAGAACCAGCCTCCTGGGGCTGGGAAGGTAGCTCAGTGGTAGAGTGCATGCCTTGCAAGCATGAGGCCCTGGGTTCAATTCCTCAGCACCACATAAACAGAAAAAGTCGGAGGTGGTGCTGTGGCTCCAGTGGTAAAGTGCTAGCCTTGAGCTGAAGAGCTGAGAGACAGCATCCAGGCCCAGAGTTCAGGCCCCATGACCGGCAAAAAAAAAAAAAAAAAGAACCAGCCTCCTCTTGAGAGACTTGCCTTCCTGCTCTTAAATTGTTTTCCCTGATTCTCCAAGATTCCTTTGTTATCTAGGGGGAATGGGTAGAATTCTGTTGCTTCCTCCAGCCCAGGTCCTGTTAGTCTCTTGGAGCTTGCTGGTGTGGCCTCGGGGTATGCTGAGGTATGAAGTACAGGGAGCCTCTGGGTGTCAGGGTGGCCCCTCCAGGCTCTCTGCATCATCTGCATGTGATTATTCTCAGCGTGTCAGGTGTCTCTTAGTTGGTGAGTGGAGGTCCCTACTAACGGCATAAGCCCACCCACTCTGGCTCAAATGCACATTTAAGGGTTTCTTGCGCTTTGGGTTTCACCTTAGAATGTTACCTGGTACCCACGATTGTGATTTAGTAGGCTTTGTGTTTCTTACACTGTTAGAGGAGCGTCTGGAAACGAAGTGTCACTCTGAGGTGTCTGTGCTGTCTTCCAGTCTGCGTAGCATGTCACCCCATATAGGCTGGGCCATAGCTTGAGCACAGGCCTTGACGTCTTAAGACTCATGGTAACTTGACTCATTTCCTTATTCCCAAGGTGTGGGTTCTACTCCATGGTTGGGAAGTTGAGGTCCATGCCCCACCCAAGCCCAGTCCCAGAGCCCAGGCCTTTGGTTGCAGCCAAAGAAAACCTTTCTCTGGCCCTAGTGTTGCAACTTCAGGCTGCTTGTGGCCTCTTAGGGCCATTTCCTTGGTGGGGCACTGGGCTTTTCTCCACAGTTTTTTGTATAGTGTTTGTGGAGAAGCTGGAGGAGTCTACTTGGTCACTGCTGGGTGAATTCTGGCGGAGTCTGGTTTCTTTGTCTCAGCATTCTCATCTGTGGTGTTTTCTCTTCTCTTGTAGCACCTGTCCCTGAAGGCCAAAAGGGCCAAGGTCCAGGACCAGTGAGCCTAGCTCAGCTGTGGCTGCAGGGACTGCCGGGCAGCAGTGCAGATGGAACTTGGCTGCTGCCTTGAAGTGGGCTGCAGCCCGCCCCTTAGCCTCTTTGCCCTCTCCCCTCAGTATTTGCAGGAGTCTGCATGGGCAGGGGGGTCCTGCACGCGGCACCCAGGCAGGGCTGGGGGGGACTGGGCCCTACCGTCAGTCTCATTTGCTGCTCACCCAGCCAGCATGCCACTCCAGCAGGGTGCGCTGCTGGCCAGCCAGGCTCTGAGAGGAAGAGGAGGAGTCAGCCTGAGGGCCAGAACCAGTGTGGGGCCTGTGGGTTGGCAGGACTCCCTTGCTTTCCCTGCTGTGGCCCCAACTATGTCGACCAGTGAAGTCCACTGTGGGCATGTACAAGCTGCTCTCTACAAGGAAGAGACCGCGAGCGCTGAGGACTTCTACCAAGGCCGCCAAGGACCAGGTCTGTTAGGCACAGGGGCTCACACACCAAGCAGCTCCTGTCCGCCTCTCCCCAGCCCCTGTGCCTGCTTCTGTGAGGCCAGGAGACTCACAGGGGACTGGCCGTCGGCAGGAAGATTCAAGTGCACTGTCAGCCCAGGCTTTCGTCCTTCACCGGTGGGCTTAGCTTCCCTCAGTACAGTACCGTGTCCTGGTGCCACCAGCCGGGCACCTCAGCTCCGGCCCCATGGGAGCTGGACCTTAGCAGGAATTCACTACAGTTTAGGCACTCTAAACTTCTGTAGCTCAGGAACATAATCTTGTATGTTGATCTTAGTCTGCTTGCATTCTTGCGAGAACGTGGGGTGGCTCTCCCAGCAGGCACTGGGTCAGGGCCGCGCCAGGGGCTGCTTCGCTGTGACGATGACCGCACTCACAACACATGACGCCACAGGTGTTTCCCCTTAGCGTTTCAGTGACATTTACCTTAAAACACGTGGCTTGAAGATGCATTTATTTTTGTACTGGTTTTAGTTTGGATCCGCCACTTTTGGCACCAAACCTGTATGTCATTTTTATTTCCATTTTGTCATTTTTATAAACATGTAAATAGTAACGAGAACTTGTTAATAATAGTAAAAACCTTTATACCTGAAGTAAACCTGTTCCCTCCCATCCGTGAACCTCGTGGTCTGTATTTAAGATGGTCTCATTCATTGATCCAGGTGAGGGCCCTCCGTTAGCTACGAAGCCCAAGGCTGAGGCAGACCTCGGCTTCTGGGTGCTGGGAGAGGGGTTACAGGAATGCAGGACGCCCCACCAAATACTCTCTGTGCCTGATTGCTTATCAGCAAGACCGTCTTAGAGCAAGCTATCACTATTTCAAGAAGCCCCAGAGGTGCAAATTCTCACCAGTGTTCAGTGGAGATCTTCCCAAACAGAGTTCTGAAACATTTTATTTTTAAAAAGTTATGTTGGCATGGAAGGGAGAAAAAGCATCCACATTGTCAGATTTGAGACCAGAGATCCAAAATGGGAGGCCAGACTCCGGAAGGAAGCAACCAGAAGCAAGTATACCGTCACCTGTCACCTCTGTCCAAGGGCAGGTTCTGAGTACATACATTCCCTCCTTCCCCTGTCCCCTGGCCTCGTGAGGGGCCTCCCTGCTCTCCTGTGTTGTTACTGCCCCTTGTGGGTCCTCACGGTCTGAGACCTTAGCTCTTTCTGTGTGTGGAGCCTGCCCAGGCCTGCAGGGGACGGGGGACGGTGGGGGGGGGGGGGGCTGGGCGTGGCCTCCACAGGGGCTCCCTGCTTCAGTCTGCTCCTGTGAGTCGCTACCTGCCCTGCAAATGTTGACTGAGCCCTTGGGCTGTATGTGTGGCACAGGGGAGGGAGGGGGGCAGGGTGGAGACATGGGATGCTGGTGACACCACATGGTAGTCCTTTTGGTTAAAGGTTTTCCTTAGAAACAAAATGCTAACCATCCTATATCAGCCACCAAGTTAAAGACCAATTAAAAACGAAAATGCAACCTGGTGGGTGAAATCCTCAGGTCCAGGGCTGCTGGGCTGGGGGCTGTGGACATCAGTACAGAGCAGCAGCATCCTAGGAACAAATGTGATCCTGGAAGCTGAGCAGCTGTGTCTTCAGAGAACTTTTGGAGGGGCGGGGGGAAGAGGGGTTTCTCCCTTTAACTCAGTGTCAGCCCATGTCATACTTCCTCACCTCCAGCTATAGTCAGATTTCCCCTTCCAGTGACTCACCTAGATTCCCGCCCAGGGCGTTGGAACTCTGGACTTGTCCATTGCATTTTTTAAAAAGAAGTGTTGGAACAGGAACCAGCCAATCACATCGCAGCTAGTTTGTCTCACGGGTGGCCTGGTTGGGCCTGCCGTCCCCGGTCTTCCAGCACTGCCCCCTCTTGTGAACAAGGCCGGTTGTGCTGGCATCTGGGGTGAATCACAGAGATACTACTTTGCTACCTTGGGTGGTATTGAACTTGTTCAGGCAGGCTGTCTCTTTGCCTGCTTAAGTGAAAATTAAATGAGAAGACATTTTAAGTGCAGTGTCTCCCGGTGGCATACTCGGCCTCCCCTCCTACTGGTGGGTACTAACTGAAGGCACCAGTACATCAGGAGACTGGCAAGCAGGAGATTGACCAGAGAGGGAGGGAGAAGGGGAGCCAGGGTATGCCGACCTTATCCAGTGACCATAGCCTGGCCAGTGGCTCTGAATACAGTGTTCATTTCTTGGACATATGTATCTGTGACCCCCAAGAGGTGAGAGCTCATGGGGTTGGCTTCAGAGGGCCTGCTGCTGCTGTCTAGATGGAGCCGCTTGGCAGGCGTCTCCCCGTGCTAACAGCATGCTGTCCAGGCATGTGACGGAGTGATGCCCTCGCAGCGGTTCCACACCCCCACTCAGAGTGTTTTCAGTGCCCGTCAAAGCCACCAAGAGTAGGGCTCATTCCACCCCTGGAGAGACATAGGCCTGTGGTTCACCTTCAGGAGAGGTGAGTGAACTCGCTGGAAAAAACAGACAGCTGGTGTGTGGGGGAGGGAGGGTGGGCAATGGGCCTTGTTGGGGTTGATGGGATCCAGCGCCTCCATATTCCCCATAGGAACTAACATAGGACAGGTTGCATCACCGGGTCTTGCCCAGCAGCATTGTCAGGTGGGATGTGATGCTGTTCACCTGCAGGCTCACCTGCTGCTTCCTCTCAGCTTGTGGTGCTGCACCTCCCAAGCCCTCGGAGCTGGCCAGGATCATCAGCAAACACCGAGGCTCGAAAACACCTCGTGAACCCTTAGCATCAAAGGTGGGCTAATGTCAGCTGTTGTATGGCCCCCAGGTGTGACTCCTCACTGTCTGATCTGTCACTGAGAACCAGCCAAGTTAGCACAGAAGTCTGCTTTTTTTTTTCTTTTTTAAAAATGGCTTTAAAAGGGGCCAAGATCTGGGCCAAGTGGATGAGCTAACACCAGGAAACTTAGTAATTCTCTCTTCATCTAAACTTAGCATTGTTTGGAGAAGGGTATGTCAAACAACACTGCATATTCCAGACTCGCGCTGCAGATGCAGGAAGAGGCCAGCTTCTGGGATAGCTGCTTGTCCAGGTGGGAGTAGGGACTGTGTGGTATTCCCTCTGCTCCCCAGCTTAGCTAGCATGTAAAACACATGAGATACAAGGCTGGTGTGTGTGTGTGTGTGTGTGCATGTGTAAGTATGTGGTTTGTATGACCACCTGGAAGCTCACACTTTTAGACCAGGCTGTAGTTCATCCTTAGGCAGGGAGGGGCAATTCCGGAGTCCCACTCTGTTCCAGCCAATCCGCTCAGCTTCTGATGCTGCAGAGCAGTGCAGTGCTGCCCTCTGCTGGCCAGGGGAGGCAGCCACTCAGCCACGGCTGTTCCTGCCTTGGCAATGGGCCAAGGGGAAGTGAACCATATAACCATGCTTTTGGTCTCTTGTTTCTGGCCACCCAGCAGCAGATATGGAGGGCAGAAGTGATGTGCAGCACTCTTCCCCAGTGCTCTCAGGTGTATGTTATTCCATGCGATTGAACCAAGTCGCGCAGGGGGCTGAGGTTGGCTAGGTTGGTGAGAACTCACTGGTTTTGTCTTACTCTAAGTATTGCTTGGAGAAGGGTCCTCAGCCCCTTTACCCATGGTGGCAACTAGTCCAGGGAATTCCTTCTCAGCCTCCTTTCTCACAGAGATGGAGGGACCAATCCTGACATTAACGTTCACAGGTGTAACCTGGAAATACCTTTCCTGAGGGTTCCTGCACCCAGGCCTCAAAATCAGAATGGGCTCGGCAGGACAGCTGCAGATTTGCAGATTCGCGACATACCTCCCGCACGCAGGTGCAGTCTGTTTCCTCCATCCTGGCCTGCTGGAGTGATGGCTGTGGCTGTTTTGTCTGGCCACAGGAGGCTACATTGCTTCTGTCCTGCTTGCTGACCAGTGACTGAGACCAGAATGCTGGAGAGCTCATTGGAGGTGTGGGCAACTGTCCTAAAGGGTTCCAAGGAGGAGGAGGACAGAATGTCACCATGGAAGTGGGCTCTCCATCCAGTCCCCATTAGGTCCAGCCCTCTGGCTCTCCCTCAGCCGATACCCTCTCTGCCAGGATGGAGACGAAACACATCCATGTACCCTGTTCAAATCCCTGACCGTCTGTGAACAAGATAAAATAGCAGTCATGTGTGCCACCAAGTTTTGGGCTGGATTTCTAGGCAACAGTAGTCCTCAGATTATCTACCCAGGGTAGGACTTTCAGACCCAGGCCTATACAGGACTGGAACCTGAGGCTGTGGGAATGCAGGTTCCCTGGGAATGGCCCCTGCTGGCTAGCAGGGCAGCTCTGGCTGCCCTGTCTAGGTGACACCAAGCTAGCTGGTCAGGTCCCATATCCTGGCTTTTAATGTGAAAGCCAGATATAACCATGGCCCCTGAAGGTCTTCCTGGACAGTGATGCAGGGCATTTGGAGTGACAGAAAGCATTCATACCTGGGGCTGGGGGGACTTGAGGGTGGAACTGGACCAGAAGAAAAGGCTGGAACATCGTGGACGGATAAGGACGCAGGCACATTGCGAGTGGATGGACTGGTCCCTGTACAAATGGCCCAGGTGTTGGGTCGGCTCCCCAAGGTTGCTGGTGGCCTCCCTAGGGTGCTGGGGACCTGCCCAACCAGGCAGGGCCACCTCTTCTCTTGCTTGGTGGTACTGGGATGCTCTGGGCAGATGTTGCACATGGCTGCCAGCAGGGGGCGCTGGTGCCCCACGTGTGTGCTCTTAGATAACACTGTCCTACTCTGGGGGTGCCGTGGCTAGGTGCTGATCCCTGCTTGGTGCCAGTGTGCCATCTGCCCAGCCAGGCATGCTCCCAGGTGGTCTGGCCCAAACCTCAGAGCGTACGGACCGGCTCCCTCCTGCATTCTGGCCATTCTGCCCAAAGCTGGGCCTCGCCACCAGGTCCTTTCATCTCTACCACCCCTAAGAAGGATACATCTATCGCTCCCACTTTGCAGGTCCAACAAAAACAACAATAACAACAACAAACCCCCAAATACCAGCAGACCTTTTATTGAGTTCTGATGAATGATGGGCCTGCCAAATCCTACAGAGTGCAGCCTGGGCAGGTGCTGGGTGGCGGATGAAGGAGCCAGCTTTCTTTGCAGACCTGAGGACTTGCAAAAAGGAGCGGGGGGGGGGGGGGGGGAGGGGGGGGAGGGGAGGCATGCCAATCTGAGGGACCAATGGGATGTTCAGGCCTGCTCAGGCCACCCCTTAATCTGTGTGCCTGTCTGTTGCACCCCCTTTCCTGCAGTCTTGCGTGGCCTAGGCACATGGAGAAAGTGGCTTCAGTAACCAGGAGCCTGGCACCTACCAAGAAGCAGGCCCAAGGGTATGGTGCCCAGCTACAGGCTGATCGTGCAGCCATGCTTATCAGAGCCAAGGCCATGAGGTCCAAGTTACAGCCCCTAGCACTCAAGACTTGAGCCTGTCCTGTGCTAGGCTCTGATCTGTTGGAGGCCAGCCAGAGATTAACCAGCCCCAGCTTCAGAAACGGGCCTGACAGTGGGGCAGTGGGGTCAGGTAGTGAAGGGCCTGTGGGTCACACAGGGTCTTGGCTTAGTCCTGTTGCTGTGTGAGCACAGGCGTGACCCTTCACCCTGGCC